GGTGCTCACAATGCACAGTTGTGAGTCCAGTGCACTGGGACCTGCTTTCCAGGATTGGAAGGTCTCCAAAAGTGCTCCAGTCGTGGCAGAACCAGTTATTGAGTCCAGTCGCTGGACATCGGTTTAAAGGCGTACTGTCAAAAAGAACTGATCAACTCTAAAGTAAAAACTTTCTCCAAAATGTACCGACTCCTTCTTGACTTCCCAGTCAAGGACGTAAAATCTGTAATGGTCAAGTGGACTCAAGACTTTGGCTATAGTATCCCAATGAATGCCTGGGAAAATCTATGGAAGGTTAATTTGAAGTTCACAGCATGCTACACCTTGAAAGAAAATTTTATGAATTCCGCTTGTACTTAACACCACTAAAATTATCTAAAATGTTTAAGACCATTTCAAGTGAATGCTGGAGATGCGGGGATGCGGAAGGCTCAATGTGGTGGATCTGTAATAAAATAAAGGAATTTTGGGATGTAATTTATAATGAGCTCAAAAGAATGATTAAGGTATCCTTCATAAAAAAACCTAGAGGCTTTCCTCCTGAGGATACTAGGCCCAGACATACCTAAAAATGCGAGAGAAATATTCTTGTATGCCACGGTAGCTGCAAGATTATTAATCACTACAAATTGGAAAGGAGATAAAATTCCAACAAAGCTGGAGTGCCAAAGTAAACTGTTAGAATATGCCAAGTTGGCAAAAATGACAGAAAAACTGAGAGGTCATACTGATCAAACATTTATTAGAAAATGGGATGGGACATGTACAAAAATATCTTAAGGATTACTGTAATAACATGACGTCAGTGGCAGGCCTTGAATGACTTCTGTAGTATGATGGATAATTATAAGAGAATATAATATTGATGAAAATTAACAAAAGAAAATGAAAATAAGTAGTGTGCTAGATAGACTAAGTGGTAGATGCATGATGGGGTGGCGAGAAGTCGTTAGAAACCCAAGAAGAACATATTGTGATGTGATGTGACAAATATTACCATTTGATTTTCTTTCTTCTGGATAACCCTTTTGTTTCTTATTTCTTTTTAATTTCAATAAAGCATTTCTTTAAAAAAATAAAAGGAAGAGATCTAAGAGAGGCAGTTGCCAACCTGCCTTCGACACAATTCCACAGATTCTGTGTACAGTGGTGCCTCGCAAGACGAAATTAATTCGTTCCGCAAGTTTTTTCTTCTTGCGAGTTTTTCGTCTTGCGATGCACGGTTTCCCATAGGAATGCATTGAAAATCAATTAATGCGTTCCTAGGAAACCGACTTCAGACCAGGTCCGGGGACAGTCTGTCCCCGACCTCTTCTGAAGGCTGGGGGGGACAAGGGCTTTTCTTCCCACCCACCCCAGCATTTTAAAACCCCGGGACAGCGGAGGGCTTCTCCGCTGTCCGGAGCGATCTTAAAATGCTGGCGGGCGGCATTTAAAATTGCCCCGGGACAGCGGAGGACTTCTCCGCTGTCCGGGGCAATTCAAAGCCCCTGGGAAGGCAGGCAGGGGGACAAAGACTTTGCCCCCGCCAGCCTTCAGAAGAGGTCCTGGACCTCTTCTGAAGGTTGGCGGGGGCGAAGTCTTTGTCCCCCACCTGCCTTCAAAAGCTGTCCAGCCAAGGCTTCGCGGACCTCTCCGCAAGCAGCGGCAGCACTGCCGCTGCTTGCGGAGAGTTGCCGGCATGCCGAAGCCTGCGCGCGCTGAGATCAGCGCGCCCAGGCTCGCGGACCTCTCCGCGAGCAGCGGCAGCGCTGCCGCTGCTTGCGGAGAGTTGCCGGCATGCCGGAGCCTGCGCGCGCTGAGATCAGCGCGCCCAGGCTTCGCGGACCTCTCCGCGAGCAGCGGCAGCGCTGCCGCTGCTTGCGGAGAGTTGCCGGCATGCCGAAGCCTGCGCGCGCTGAGATCAGCGCGCCCAGGCTCCGCGGACCTCTCCGCGAGCAGCGGCAGCGCTACCGCTGCTTGCGGAGAGTTGCCGGCATGCCGAAGCCTGCGCGCGCTGAGATCAGCGCGCCCAGGCTTCGCGGACCTCTCCTGCCTTCAAAAGCCGTCCGGGATAGCGGGAAGCGCTTCCCTGCTATCCCGGACTGCTTTTAAAATGCTGGCGGTGGGGGGCAAAGCCTTTCGGCCCCCGCCCGCCGTCCTGGACCTCGTCTGGAGGCCGGAGGGGGAAGGCTTTGCTCCCCACCGCTAGCATTTAAAAGAGGTCCCGGAGATTTCCCTATGGGCTTTCGTCTTGCGAAGCAAGCCCATAGGGAAATTCGTTTTGCGAAGCGCCTCCAAAACGGAAAACCCTTTCGTCTAGCGGGTTTTCCGTCTTGCGAGGCGTTCGTCTTGCGGGGCACCACTGTAGTAAGGAAATGTTATTCTGGATGCTGTGCACTGATAATGAGATGAAACTGGGACATACCTTTTCCCCTTTCCAACTCAGTTCTGCTGCCCAGTACACCCCCATACTGTGGCTATTATTTGTCACTTAATACAAAAATAGTATCTAGGCAACTTACAAGCAGAATAAAATACACACTGAAAAACATAGCAATTATCAGCATATCTGGAGGATACTCCCCATCTTTTCAAGGGGCTCTACCAACAGTGTTGGGACGTGGGTGGCGCTGTGGGTTAAACCACAGAACCTAGGACTTGCTGATCAGAAGGTTGGTGGTTCGAATCCTCGCGATGGGGTGAGCTCCCGTTGCTTGGTCCCTGCTCCTGCCAACCTAGCAGTTCGAAAGCACGTCAAAGTGCAAGTAGATAAATAGGTACCGCTCCGGTGGGAAGGTAAACGGCATTTCCGTGCACTGCTCTGGTTCGCCAGAAGTGGCTTAGTCATGCTGGCCACATGACCCGGAAGCTGTACGCCGGCTCCCTTGGCCAATAGAGCGAGATGAGCACCGCAACCCCAGAGCCGGCCACGACTGGACCTAATGGTCAGGGGTCCCTTTACCTTTACTTTACCAACAGTGTTTTTAGTTTGGAATGTTCTTGTTGTCCCAAACACAGTTTCAGGATTGCATGTGGTTAAGTTCCTAACCTCCTTCTCTAGGCACGGAAGCCTGGTTCGGTCACTTACTCCATCTGTGCGCTGGCAACGTGGCTGTCAAATTCCAGGGACAATTAAAAGTTGTTAACATTAAATGCACTGGGACATATGTATCTTAGTACAGGAATGATCAGAAGGTATATGGTAGTATACTGGTTAATATTTTGTGGGATAAGGCTATCAGTGGCTATTGGCCATAATGGTCACTCTCCAGGGTTGCTTCTGAATTTCAGTTGCTGGGAATCACAAATGGGGAGACTGCTGTTGCATTCATATAGTCATTGAAATGTACAGCTGGAAAGGACCCCAAGGGTCTTGAAGTCTAACCCCCTGCAAGCAGGAATCACAGCCAAAGAATCTCTGACTGATGGCCATCCAACATGTTTAAACACCTCCAATGAAGCAGTCCACCACCTTCATATCCTGCTTGTGAGTTTCTGATAGGCAGTTGATTGATCAGTTTGCATAAGATGCTGAATGAAATGGGCCTTTGGTCTGATCCAGGAGGGCTCTTACAAACCACCTGGCAGACTCCCAAGGAACTCCCTGAATCCTGACTCTGCCCTGAGACACCCCAAGGCTTGATATTGCCCTTCACTTTGAACTGACATTTGCTTCAATGAATGGAGAGATCAAAATCTGCTGAGATTTTCAAGTGGTTGTTTCTTTAACCCCCCAACAAAGCCAAAGGATTGCTACAGGAGAATACAAAGAATGGCAAAGTGGAAATCGCGCCTTATTAACGATGTCTATTGTCTTTCACAACATCACCTTTCCTCATACTGTATACACCTACCCAGCAGAAGAACTATATTGTCTCAGCACCAGTTCTTCTTCTTCTGCCTATTGTGATATTTTACATCCTTCATGTTTTGCATCTCTTTTAGTGGGTAGTTCTCTAGTCCAGATGGATGGCAGGCTGCCTGCTCTTGATGGGGTTATTCTCCCTCTCAAGGAGTGGGTACACAGCTTCAGGGTACTTCTGGATCCTTGCTGTTGCTTGAGGCTCAGATGGCCTCAGTGCAGCAGAGTGCCTTCCATCAGCTTCAGATGGTGGCCCAGCTGTGCCCCATCTGGACAAGGATAGTCCAACTTATGTTGTCTATCACTAAAGCATAGTGCATTTTCCCTAATAATCCAATGACATTTAGTCAATTTGGTCACTCTGCATTCAGTGCTATCCACTCTAAGCCTGCCCTGAACACTATCTTAGCATCAGTGGGACTTCCTTTGCAAACAGACCAGAGGCTGTTTATTGAAATCCATTAGCCATCATTAACTGTACATTTAGTTTGTTGCCAGTCTGACCTTGGCACGCTCCTGCATTTATAAGCTCACCTTCATTTCTCTAGCTAGCACAAGCTAAAAGTAAGCTGTGATGGCAGGACAATTCTCACTTCTCCATATCTAAGTTAACCGGTGTGAATGCACAACACTCCATAACACTCAGTCTCCACAGCACACCTTCTGCCACAAAAATATTTTCCTAATTTAAATCATCCTCACCCTGACACATTTCATTTAGAATTTGGAAGGAAGATTGAAAGATACATTTGAAAAGTATGCTTGTTTCACATAAAAGTTCCATGAGTTATGTGTGCAATTTTTAAACAAGAAAATAAAGTATTTTAAAAGAAAGTCCCCCTTGTTCACTGAGATTTTCTACAAGATACGCTAAGTAGTGCCCCTGAAATGTTTTAAATGTTAGGAAACATTACTCTGGATCTCATAGAGGGAAAATAGTTAAATATTCTAAAGTATGAATATATAACCTCAAAATACAGGACTTCCAACTCCCATCAGCCAGCAGATCAGGGGTGATGGGAGTCGAGTCCAGCAGCAGCTGGAGGGTCTTAAATTATAAACTATTACATTTTACACAACAGCACACATTAATTGAATTCACGCTAACATAACCATTAATATTGTAATCCAAATAAACACAAGTGGAGGAGGGAAAGCAACCGTTTCTGCACCCATTCTTGAGTGCAAAGTTTATTTATTCAAAGCATTTACACCTTACCCTTCAACCAGAGCAGTTTACAAATCAATGAAAACTACGTACGCAGTCCATTTCCTCAGGTGCTGAATCCCAAAAAGCCAAGACGCAGAAAAGAAAAGAAAAGCAATGGGAAGCAGAGATTACACTCTTTAAGCACAATTTACTGGAGCACTTTTACAAGCACCACCGAAACCAGCCTCCAAATATTATATGCATTCGTCCTTCACCTTGTCCCAGGAGTCCCCCGTTTGCATAGGATCGCGAGGCACGTTGCCCTGAGCTGTAAAATCATGTTAGACAAGAGGCACCTCTCCAGAAATGCCTGCGGGGCAGCGGCAGCTCAGTTCCCAAAGGGAAAATAAAGGCAGCGACGTCTCTTCAGACGATGCGCCGAGCATCCAATTGCAAGAACGGCGACCAGTTCGCTTCCCAAAACGGAGCGATCGCGGCGAGCCAAATCGGGAGTGTCCCGGAGAGAGGAGCGGTGCCGTTGCAGCTGCTGGCGGTTTGGGGAGGCGACGAAGCCTCCGCGTCACCTGGTGAGGAAGAGCTCCGCATCTTCTGGTCCTTTTGGGAGGGCCCTTAAGGGAGGCGGCAGGATTCGGCGAAAGCGCGATGCGGATTAGCAAAGCGAAGCGGCGAGAGGGAAGCCACGGCGAGGCGGCATTTTGCTCCCCTTGCCTCCAAGGTGGGGGAAATCCTCCGCCCGATGGAGAGGGCAGGAGGCAGTCTCCCCACCCCCCCGTCCCTCTTTTCAACACTGCCCCCGGGATGGCGACACGTTCCCATCCGCCACGGACGCTCTGAGGGAACCGACCCCTCAGAAAAGCCAGAGGCGCCCAAGTTGCCTCTGCCGCCGCCGCGCCAACCGGCCCAGCAAACCGGAACCAGCCAATGACAGTCGCGAGAAGCTCTCTCCAGAGAAGTGGGCGGGGCCGCAGAAAGCAACGGCCGACCCACCCGACAGAAGCTTCGTCAGAAGCCAACGGCAAGCTGAGTGGAACCCAAGAGGGAGATGGTGGAAGAGGAGGAGGAGCGGGTGGGTGGGCGTGGCTCCGCGGCCGAGCTCCTTGGCGATAGGCTGGGCGCCGAGAAGGAGGGGAAGCGAGGGGCGGCGGAAGACCAACCGGCCTCTTTGGCCGTTGGTGAGTGAGGCGTGGTTTGGGTGGTGGGCGGAGCCCTGAGGTCGAGCTTCGCCCGGCGATTGGCCCCCCGGCCGCGAGCGGGGGGCGTGTCCCGTCGGCAGCCGCGGCCTCCCCCGGGCCTGGATGGCGGGCGAGGGAGGCTCGGGGCGCCTGTCTCTCGCAGCGGCGGAAGTCTCGCGAGGCGGCGCGGGCGGGATTTGGCGGCGGCGGCGGAGGCTGCTGCCTGCTTGCTTCCCACCCTCCTCCCTCCCTCCCAGCGAGGAGCTGGTGTTTGTGTGGAAGGGGGAGGAGGCGGCCGCGGAGGAGGAGGAGGAGAGGGAGAAGGAAGGCGAGCGAGAGGAGCCTGAGCCCCGCCGGCGTCGGGCGGACGAGCGGAGCCGAGGCCCGTCGCTAGGCTCGGGGCCGCCGCCGCTGCGCCCGCCGCCATGGCCTCGGGAGACACCTTGTACATCGCCACGGACGGCTCGGAGATGCCGGCCGAGATCGTGGAGCTGCACGAGATCGAGGTGGAGACCATCCCGGTGGAGACCATCGAGACCACCGTGGTGGGCGGCGAGGAGGAGGAGGAGGAGGACGACGACGACGAGTGCTGCGAGGACTGCGGCCCTCACCACCCGCCCCACCGCCGGCACCACCACCACCACCATCACCACCACCCGCCCATGATCGCCCTGCAGCCGCTCGTCACCGACGGCGACCCCAGCGGAGGCGGCGTGGGCGCCGGGGGCGGCCAGCTCCATCTGCACCACCACCCGCACCACCAGGAGGTGATCCTGGTGCAGACCCGCGAGGAGGTGGTCGGCGGAGACGACTCGGACGGCTTGCGGGCAGACGACGGCTTCGAGGACCAGATCCTCATCCCCGTGCCGGCCCCGGCCGGAGAGGACGAGTACATCGAGCAGACTCTGGTCACCGTCGCGGCCGCCGGGAGCAAGGGCGGCTCGGGAGGGGGAGGCTCCTCTTCGGGCGGCGGCCGGGTGAAGAAAGGCGGCGGCGGCAGCGGGAAGAAGAGCAGCAAGAAGAGTTACCTGGCCGGGGGAGGAGGCGGCGGTGGCGGCGCGGCCGAAGGGGGCGGCGGCGGCAGGAAATGGGAGCAGAAGCAGGTGCAGATCAAGACCCTGGAGGGGGAGTTCTCGGTCACCATGTGGGCCTCGGGTAAGTGGAGCGGCCGGGCGGGGCTCGGCACCTTGCGCGGGGAGGCCCCCAGGGTCCGGGGAGCCCTTCTCCGGGCCCGGCGGGCACTTTCCCCCCGTTTTGTTTTGAAGGGAGGCCATGTTTGGATGTGTGTGATGGGCGCCGCCATGTTCATCTCGCCAGGGCAAGTATGGCGGCTTCCCCCGAAAAGATGGCGGGGTCTGCGCTTGCCTCTGCCTGATTGCCCGGCTCCCTCCGGCGGGGGGGAAAAGGGAAAGAAAGATGGCGGCGGCCCCGCCAAGATGGCGGCCGAGAGGAAGAGAGAGAGAGAGGAGGGGAGGCGAGGCGGCGCGCCTGCCTGTCCGCGCGCGCGCGCGCTCTCCTTCCTTCCCCTCCCCCCCCATCTCCTCTCGTTCTCTGAGTGACTCCTGGACTAGGCCGCAATGGCGTAGTTTCTGCAGTAGGGGGAGGGAGGGAGGAGGAGGGAGGCGGGGCAGGCACGCGGCGGCGCGGGCCGAGCTCGCCGGCCCCTTCCTTCCCCTCTTCCAGCCTCTCTCCCCCTCCTCGAGCTGCCTCGGTTCCGTCCCCTTTCCCCCCGTGTAGCCTCCTTCCTTTCATTCTCTACCCCGTGACAGACTCGGGGTAACCTTTAAACGTTCCTCGCTGGGCTTTTCCCTTCGTCGTCTTTTCAACCTTCTTTCCTTCCCCCACAAGCAAACGGATAAGCCGTTTCCTTCCCTTCTTGCGCCCCGCCTCATGTCCGTTTCCTTTCCCCAACCAGCCGCCTCGACTTGGTAGCGCTTGCCTGACTGGTTCCTCCTCATTTCTCTCCTTCCTCCTGGGATTTTGGCTAAGTCCCCCTCTCCTCCCCATAAAAACTCCCTAATGAATTCCGACAAGAGGTCTGTTCAGGAAGCGCGGCTTTCAGTTTTACTGCCAGTAAGTCGGGGAAGCGCCCAAGTTGCCGCCTCCTTCCAACACCAGAACTGAGTCCCTTTATACGAAACACGTTTCCCAAACTGAGCCTATTTTCACGGTTCCTAGACTCGTGAGTGTGCTTAAAAGTCTCTTTAGCTGACATCTAGCGGGGTTTTTAATAACTTGAGGGGTCTGAGGGAGGCCTAAAATTAGGCGCCTGGATCACTGACATCTGCTCTGAAGGAAGGAGGTGGATCCTCTCTGACCCTGGAAGCTGGATCTCTGGCAGAAGACCAGCAGAGAGAGTGCCTTTTGACTTAAGAGGTGCTGCCACCTCTTCTCATTACACAGCAGGTGTGTGAAATTGACACTGCCAGCCTCCAGATCCAGGATATGTTGTTTCAAGGGAATTAACCTCTGCAGTAAACAGTTCTTGCGGTTCCTGCCTGTATATATGGGTTAATAGTAAAGGGTACCAGCTGTAGGAAACTTAAGGGTTTTAGAGTTCTCAAATGTTTTTTTCAAGTTAAATAGAGTGTTAATGAATGGAGAACCTACTACCATTAATCCTTTATTTTTAAGTGTCCTAATCCATAGAAGAGTTGGAAGGGACTGTGAGGGTCATCTAGACCAACCCGCTGCATTGCAGGAATGTTTCACACAAGAGTCTCATGCTCTAATGAGTGAGCTATCCCAGGTTATACGCAAGTAGATCCCTTGAAGTATCGCCTACAGAAACATAAAAATGGGTATGAATTTGGCTCCTGGTGTTTTACAATATATGCCTGCTTGGCTGATTAGAACACAGTTCATGCACATTTCAGTGTGTTAAGTGAAAGAAACATAAATATTTGCTGAATTAGCTTGAGTTTCTAACTTATTACTGCATTGATAATACATAGTTTTAGAAAGTCTTGGTGTTAAAAGGGCAACTTTGTATATTATTAATAATAGCAGCACAACATAATCCCCAGGACAGAGTAATTGTTTTAATCATTAATAAAATAAACACTGCCAGCCAGGAGCACAATCCAGAATCTATGACTATACAGTCTACATAACATTTGTGCTGTACTAATTTTGTACATGATATTTTTTCATTGAGTAAATATATCATTACATTGCTTAGAGACCAGTGACAGATGTGTTTGGTGTGCTCTCTGTAAATCAGTGGTGTCAAAACTTATTTCAAAGAGGGCCAGATTTGATGAAGGGCTATGTTTGTTGAGTTTTTTTAGGATTGAAGTTGTTGAGGGTTTTTTAGGATTTTATCCCAGGAAATAAACTGCCACAGGGGCCGGATTAGGCCCCCAAAACAGACTTTGGGCATGCCTACTGTAAATCCAAACTACTAAACACAATCACTTAATTTAGAACTAAGGCTTGTAATTCTTAGGAAGCAACTCACATGAGATTATGTGGAACATCATAGCTCAATCCTATGTGCTGTCTAAAAACTATCCCAGAACAGATTTTATTCAGTCTTTTTAAAATTTCCAGTCCCCTTCACTATTGGTTATCTTGTCCTCTGGTACTTCAGAGAAACTGAGCAAGTGGCATTCTGTGACAATCTAAAATGATATTTTCATAGCCATATCACTTTATTGACCATGCTGATAAATTTTCAAGTAATTGAGTTTCATAAGTGGTTCACGGAATCTGATAAGTTAAATGGATAATTTCTGCAGTGACATACCCATGCTTTCTTAGAAGCAAGTACTACTGATATAAATGGGGCTTACTTTCTAGTGCAGATTGTAGTCCTATATGCTTTGTGCTTATGTTAAGCAGCTTTATCAAATATTACATGATGCAGAAGCTATTGCCAGAGGTGCCGAAAGTCAAAGATCAATTAGCTGCATTGAGCTGTGGATTTTCAGGCATCTAGTAAGGTGTCTGAAGCTACTGATGTTGATGGCCTAAATGAACTCTGTTAGTTATGGGCTCAATTCTCTCTGTTTCTGAATCAAAATCAGTGCATTAATCCAGGCTTGTTTTGACCTTGTATAAATAATGCAATAGCCTTTTCTGCTGAAATGTAATATGTATATACACCCATTATTTTCTGTGGTGCTCTGAAGCCTTGATAGCTCTCGAAGTCCATCAGCCTGCTTATATAATTTAATTGCGTACCTGCCCTGTTTGATCACAATATTGTGCTTGCTCCTTTTAGGCACTTTACAGACCACTAGTTCAAGGTGTGCTTAACAGAAGTAGCATAATTGAATTCTCCATTTATGTCTTACACTCTTAACAGTGGGATATATCTGAAATAATATAGTACAGTGGTACCTCGCAAGACGAATGCCTCACAAGACGAAAAACTCACAAGACGAAAGAGTTTTTCGTTTTTTGAGTTGCTTCGCAAGACGAATTTCCCTATGGGCTTGCTTCGCAAGACGAAAATGTCTTGCGAGTTTGTTTCCTTATTCTTAAAACCGTTAATACCGTTAAAACCGTGCTTCGCAAGACAAAAAAATCGCAAGACGAAAAAACTCGCAGAACGAATTAATTTCGTCTTGCAAGGCACCACTGTATGATGATTAAACACAAAAAGGCTCAGATCAAACTTTTAACAATTTGTACAAAGTTAGAAGAATTTTTCATGCTATCTTTCAGCCACCTCTTTACCTAGTATTATATCGTCTTTGTGCTATTATTCTCCTCTTTTGGATTCTCCCAAGTTCTGAACAGGAGTGCTATGCATCCCTCAGTTTTGGGACTGGCTACCCAGAATATTCCTTTAGCCTTGTTTAAGGGAAATTTAATGCCCTCCTGCAGAAATAATTGTTGTAGGAAAGTTTAACACTTCTACCAGTTCTGAATTTGAATGTTATTGAATAGGGTAGGATTTGAGGAGGATGTGTTCAGTTACAGTACTATACATTAAATGGCACTCCCTTTTAGATGCTCAAATAGTTGAACTGGTTAAACTTCATAAACTTCTTAGATACCGTCTTCTGAAATCTTGAATGCATCTTTTTACATATCCTGTGTTTTATGATATGGAAACCAAGTTTTGGTAACCAGTTCAACTTGCTCCATAATTGCATTTATGCTGTGCCTTATCTGAACTTGTGACAGTGGAGGTCAAAAACAGTTCTTAGGCATTCTCTTCCCCCCTTTTCATGCACGTGGAAAGCCTAATAGTTTCTAGCATAATATCCTGAATTACTAAAAAAATTGTGTTAATACACCAAATACCATGTACTTGCTCTCAAGTGACTTTTAATTTTGAAGTTTGGGGTTGAGTAGAGTTGCTTCTTAAGCAAGTTAATAACTTGCAGCTTTCAAATTAAGGGAAGTCCTTCTGTTGTCCTTCTGGGTAATTAGTTACATTCCAGGGTCCCATTATAGCACAATGCTATTTCTCAAACCATTAAGAAATCCCTCTCAGTTAGTAAGCGGGAAACTATTGCATGGCTATTGCAGTGACCCATGTCAGATAGCATCTTCTAAACTAGGGGTGGGTAGGTTGTGGCCCCGTATACTCTGTTGGACTCCATTTCCCATCATCCCTGACTATTGACCATGTTCTCGGGACTGATGGGAGCTAGAGTCCAACAACTTACGGGGGCCACAGGTTCCCCCAGTCCTATGTGCTATTCCTTTTTCACAAGCCTAGTACATCTATGCCACTCCAGAATGTTTCAATGCTCTTCTGAACTAGGCATTACTTCCACATAGAAATCTAGATATCATTGAGAAGCATTTTAGCCTAGTTTCTCTCTCCCACCCCATTGTATAGTTTTCAGCAAACTGAAGCGATACAGGCGTATCTCATTAATAAGAATTCACTGCAGTAAGATCTAGGTCATAATGCCCAGAAGTAGAAATGTAAGTTTAGATCCTAGTTATTAGAAATTCAGCATGTAACTGCATAATACAATGTCTTTAGCCACAACACCTGTGGCCACTGGCATCCTATCATGTTACGTTTAAGCCCCAAATCGTCCACTGATGCCCTTGACTATGCTTCTGAAACTTGACTGCATCCATCAGTTCTACTGGATTTTTTCTGCTCTGTTATCTTTGGGTTGCTCAAGCCAGTTTGGGGTGTTGTTATGTACAGAAGATAAATGAACCAGATGTTCACCAGAACAGAGAATGGCTATAACTCATTTGGTTTCCCAAATTTGGAAGTGGTCACTATGTGAACAGAATGCTGGACTGGATGGGTGTTTGGTCTGATCCAACAGTGTTCTTCTTAAATTCTTGCATTCCCCATGCTAGTGCCAGTAATCTGTTCTGCATGATAATATACACGTATTATTGCTCAAACTGTGCATACAGCTTGCTTCTGCTAGGTTAGATGATCTGTCAAGTTAGGGTCCTAGAACCATACACTGTGAAACCTAAGAACAAAGCAACAGCAGCTCTTTAATCTCCATTCTTTGGAGGTATAATCATCCACCCTCAGATCCATTGAGGATTATTGAGGGTTCCTTTACCAGAGAGTATTCAACTCATCCAAGTCCAATAGTTCAGGATACTTGAAAACACTTAATATATATATTTCTTTTTTTAAAAAAAATTCAGAATGTAAAATGATTTTCCCAGTTAACAGCAGTGATTCATCCTAAGCACATAATTGGGGACATGAGCAAATAAGATTTATGGTGAAAGTTCAGAAGCACTGACATGCATGCAGACCAGCATTATATCTGATCTCATTTCATCGTCTTCTTTACTGTGCATTGCAATCTTACTTGCTGCTGGTTACCTTTGTTTCTTTCTCCCATGGCTCCTTCTAGTTGTCTGTCATGTTACTTAAATCCTTATTCTTTAACCAGACTTACCATCTCTATTCATAAACTCAGATCCACCTTTCTAGAGCATTGATCACATTTGAATGCCAGAAGTGTAAAAAAAATAAAAAGTTATATAGGAATTCTTGAGATTTTGACACTATTCAGGAGGAAGGAATTCCTGAGAATCCTTCATTGAACCACTACTTGAAAATTATATTTAGAGCTAGTGGTGGCATTCACAAAGAAAGAAAGAACTGTATAGGTCAGGGATCAGCAACCTTTTTCAGCTGTGGGCCAGTCCACCGTCCCTCAGACCATGTGGTGGGCTGGACTATATTTTCTTTTGGGGGGGTGTGTGAAATGAACAAATTCCTATGCCCCACAAATAACCCAGAGATGCATTTTAAATAAAAGCACACATTCTACTCATGTAAAAACACGCTGATTCATGGACCATCCGTGGGCCGGATTGAGAAGGCGATTGGGCCGTATCTGGCCCCCTGGCCTTAGTTTGGTGTTTCACTTGGAAGAATTTTCAAGGGTGAGCTATTCTTGATACCTCTCCTTGTTAGCTTATTTGGAAACTAAAATAATGGGATCAATTCATGAATTTCCCCCTTTGCAGCAGACATTTGACAAATTAGCATATGGCTTATTCATTTCTTACATGCAAATATTATTTTTGGATAGTGTTAGGGGTAGAGCTATTCACTATTCTTTCTTACAGGGAGCTTAAACTAGCTAATTTCTTCTTCAGTGGAGGCAGTAATTCTTGCATAGATCTGCCCTCCCACTTGCAAGGTCATTGAAATTAGCGTCCTATATCCTCTGAGTGGAGAGAGTTCCTATGTAGTTTCTGGTCCTTCCCATCTTGGTGCATGGGTCTTTTCATTGCATTCCCCACCACCCACCCCTCTACCTAGCCAGGGTGGGTCATGAGGTGGGCTTTTGGCTGAATATGTGTTTTAAGTTTAAAGGAGGAGGCATTCAACACCATATCCATTCCGTGCACAGTTTCTGAGAGCCCTAGGAGAGGAAGAGGTTGCTCCTCTAGGAGAGCAATTGCTATTGGTAGTGATGGAGGGGAGCACCCAGACGGCCCGACCACCCTGTCAGGGTGGCTCTGCTAGGTTGGTGCTAACCCTCATAGGCAGGAAGGACAGATCAAAATGGGTGTAAGCCAGTGGATCTTTAGGCTACCCCACCCTCTGATTCTGGATAGTGGATCTGTCCACCTGGGGCTACAGAAGTGGATTAGCTAGTGCATAGTACAGGAGCTGCCATGCCATCTTCTGAGGGGAAGGTTCAAAAGGTGGAATAGGATCTACCACCCGCTGCACCATTTGAAAAGTTTGCAGTGCTTATCTAGGGCCCTTGCCTGGTCTTCGATAGCTGCGACAGCAGAAGGGACAGAGGCGTTGCTGGGCAGCTTTAACTAGCAGGCTTTCCTTTTCCCCAGACACCTTTGCAAGCCTTTGCCCATGTCAACAGACATCTGGACCGAAAGCCTGATGCACACATTGACAAGATGTGAAGGCTTTTTGCCAGATTCTGATGCTTCCCCTGAAGTAGTGGGTGTCTACAGCAGCCACAGCACAAGTTAGTTTCGAGATACAGATGAACTACCCAGCATTCAAGAGCAGGCACAAATATGTACTTGTTTGGACAGACCATGTTATTTCAAAGACTCACAATAGCAGGCAGGGATCACAAGACCTTGTTCACTGCTGCAGGAAGCACTGTACCTGCCGTGCAATCTCCATGATCAATCCTCCTGGCTCATTCAGTTCTCATTCATTTCCAAACCTGCACAGCAATTCTGGGATCCTTGGAGATGCTTGGAACTTCTTGTTGGTTCTCAGCTGCTCTTTGGCAAATGGAGCTGTCAAGGAAGTAGGACAGCAGAGAGGACAAAAAGGAGGCATTCTGGGTTGGGGGTGGCTACTGTGGATCTTTAGGATCCTCCCAATCCCCCATCGCACCCTCTCACTGGAAGCAGTGGGAAGGAAAGGGTTTTAAAAGGACAAGCAGCCATTAAAGGCAAAATGGGGGGGGGGAATCACTTGCCCCTTTCTGTCCTGCCTGTAGGACAAAGGGGCTTCCTCCACCACAGTCTCTCTCTCTCCCTTTGCCCTTAGGATTGCTTTGTTTGTGCTGTGCTTTTGGTAGTTTAAAAAAGGAAGAAAATGAATTGATAATGAAATATAGAAACTGTCGAACACCTTATAGCAAGCTATGGCAACAGATTTTGATTACCCAAAATGTTCAGTTAGCATATGTGCCCTGCCTGCTGTTCATATCTTTGTTGGGTTGTGGATTATTTTTCTAGCAAGGAATTGGCAGTTGAAGAATTCAGTTCTTTAGAATTTAAAATTCCGAATTCCTCTTTATTTAAGAGGGAATTATTATTAAAAGAAAATGGAAGTTAATTGCCACCTTATTGATCATGCTGTTGCTAAATTAAGCTGAAATTGGCAGAGTTGCCAGTGTATATATTTATAGTTACAACTCATCATACATTGAATTTAGCATTGTATTCATTTGAAGTAGGAAATAATTGCATGTTCTATAAAGCTAGTGCTTAGTACTGGGGCGGAGGGCAGAGGGTTCCGTAAAGTACAGATTTGTAAGCAAATGACCATTTGCTAATGCATTTTATTATCTTTTTGACCCTGCATATGGAAATAGCTTGAGGGATGTTTGCTAGCGCTAAGGGTGGGGGAGGTTGTGCTAAGGTACAAGCCTAGCCAACGGTGGTGTCCTTCGAGGATGTTAAATCAAAATTCAGTTTGCTCTAATCATTTCAGATGACAAAAAAGACATTGACCATGAGACTGTGGTGGAAGAGCAGATCATTGGTGAGAACTCCCCTCCAGACTACTCTGAATACATGACAGGAAAGAAGCTACCACCTGGAGGAATACCTGGCATCGATCTTTCCGACCCTAAACAGCTGGCTGAATTTGCAAGGTAAGTGGTAAGAGAATTGTTTTTCTAGTAAAAACATTATTCCATTATTCTCATTCATAATTATCAGATACTGAGAAATGATCTTTCTGGTATAAGAGTTCAGACACTGAGATAGGAATTGTGACTGTGAAATTTCTTCAGAGTTCTCTCTCTGATTAGGTCATTCTGGAATAAATTCTCTGGCTTGCCTGCCAGATTCCTCAAGTTTCCAGATTCCTGTTTCAAAGTCCATTCTCTATTCCATCTTGCCTCCAGCCTTCCCCCTCTGGGGTCCATATCCTTAAATGTGCAGAGATGGGACCAGTCTCTTCTCACTTCCTAACCCTGTTCCTTAGAGGTTTTATTCCCAGCCAAAATAACAGCTTCCCCTCCCTCACAGAAGTTGAACTGTAAACTGTTTAGTTTCCTGGACAGTGGAATATTTCATGCCATCACACCAGCTCAGCCAGTCAGTTTGAGACTTTGCCATCACAACTGCAATACGATACAGTTGGTTTATGTCAGAAGATTACTTTGTTAATACAAAGCAAATAAGAATATATTTCCTTTTCACTGATCAATGCTGTTGTGCTTTTCTTTGCAAGAATGAAGCCAAGAAAAATCAAAGAAGATGATGCTCCAAGAACGATAGCCTGTCCTCATAAAGTGAGTAAAATATTATGATTGCTGATAGCCTGATAGTCAACAAAATGCTTTTTAACTTCAGAGTTCATGCTTATAAAGACTGCTTCTCTGTTCCTTTTAAAAATTAAAGTATGAGGAAAGTTGCATACATTTTGTATTGTATTAAAGTATTGTTTCTCCTGATGGGAAGTAGAAGGACCATGGCAACTAGGAAAAAGGGAAAGCAGCTCATGTATTTAAAAAATTAAAAAAACTGAAAATGACTTGGCAAAAAATGTGAAGAGGCTGAATGTGTTTTAGTAGAGCACCCGGAAATCCTAGTTGTAATACAGTCCACTGATGTGTCATCTTTGTATTCTCTCGAAGGGCTGCACAAAGATGTTCAGGGACAACTCTGCCATGCGGAAGCATCTGCACACTCATGGGCCTCGAGTACACGTCTGTGCGGAATGCGGCAAGGCCTTTGTGGAGAGCTCAAAACTAAAGCGGCACCAGCTAGTTCATACTGGAGAGAAGCCCTTTCAGGTAACTATTTTTTTCCAAAATACTTTTGGTAGACATTTATGCTGCATGTAGAGATCATTCTGAGGCTCAAAAAACCCAAAGGTACCTGTTCTCAGATAAAATTAGGTAACACCAGTCAAAGGGCTGGAAATAATCTAAATGTGTGGACAGAGAATAATTCAAGCAACTGCCCAACAGGCATTTCGCACTAAATCTTTTCCTATCCTGTCTTGTTGGGTCATTCATGATGCTATCTTTCCATAGTTACCAGGAGGTTTGAGATCAGGTCTTATAACAAGCAGCAGACTTAATAGCTGCTAGGCAAAATATACCTAGCAAAATGTAATTACATTCACGCACTCACCCCCCCCCCCCAAAAGCATTTCATTTGCTGGCTGCACACTTCATCATTGTCAGAGACTTAATTATTGGAGCACTTGCAAGCTGTTGATGTAGACGGAGTGCAATATATTGAGAACTGTTTCTCCCTTTCCTGACATGCTGCATTTTCCCACTACAGGCCAGGCCTCAGAGGTTATATAGGTGTGGGATGTCTTTCACTGATAAGTCATACTGTCTAGTTTGCCAGCTCAAGATGTACAAACTGGACAACATCATAAACAAATTGTATGTGTGTTTTTTCTCCTTGAGGTTTTTAGAATGTGCTTGTATGCAAACTTTTGTAATAGGAGCAATAAACAGAAATCTAGACAGTGGAGAAATTCTGTTCCTGTTGTGAAAGCTGGTGCTCTTAGAACTGTTGTTTTACCTCTCGGTAGTAGTAGTTTGCCATGGCTGTTATTCACTGTCCTTTATATAAAGCAATCAAGAATTGACTTTTCCCATGTTGTTGAAGACATGCGTCTTCATCAAATGTTCCTCAGCCTTTCGTTGGCAAAAATCGCGCAAGAGGGCTATGAATAAAGCCGTGCATAGAAACAAGTGCATAGAAACAAGATAGTGAATGCCAACTTTTATTTCAGTGGATAAAGTGATCATTGTCTTTATCCTCCAGAGACGTACTTTGCTTGTTATGCCTGCTGAACTGTTCAGATAACACAGGCATTGCACCATAGCATTTATAGGAAGGAATGGGTGAATTCTTCATGTCCATGGGATTCCTAAGTTCTTGGCTGGGAAGCCTGCCATTTGCAGTAATTTTTTTTATGTAACGTCGTGGTTAATTGGTGTACATTTATAATGTATTTTCCTGGGGAAATGTGGATTAAAGAGTAAAGGTGGTGCTTGAAGGATACCAAGAACTGCTTATAGGCTTATGTAATGTTACCTGGACTACTACTTAACTGCTTTAGAAATGTAAAGCTTTTTCTTGAGATATCTTACTGCTAGTAAATTCATGTCACGAGGTATAGAATCATACTTTGCATTGTAGAGTTGGAAGGGATCCTGAGGGTCATCTAGTCCTAGCTCCTTCAACCATTCCTCATAAGGCTTGGCTTCTAGACCCTTGATCATCTTAGTTGCCCTCCTCTGCACATGTTCCAGCTTGTCAACATCCTTCTTAAATTGTGTTGCTCAGAATTGAACATAGTACTCCAGGTGTGGACTAGCCAAGGCAGAATAGAGCAGTACTATTACTTCCCTTGATCTGGATACTACACATCTGTTGATGCAGCCTAGAATAGCATTAGCGTTTTTTGCTGCTGCATCACACAGTTGACTCATGTTAAGCTTGTCTACTAATAGTCCTAGATCTTTTTCACAGGTACTCCAGGCAAGCCAGGTGTCCACCATCCTATATCTGTACAGCTGGTTCTTCCTGCCTAAGTGTAAAACCTTACCCATGTCCCTATTGAAATTCACTGTTAGTTTCGGCTCAGTTTTCCAATCTGTTAAAGGTCTGATTGAATCACTATTCTGTCTTCAGTGGCATTGGCTACCCCTCCCAGTTTGGTGGCATCTGCAGATTTGATGAGCATCCCCTCAATTCCTTCACCCAAGTCATTTATAAAGAGGTTGGAACAACAGTGGCCCAGGACATAACCCTGTGGCGTCCCACTTGTTACGTTTTTCCAGGGTGACGGGAAACTATTAGTGATCACTCTTTGTATTCAGTCAGTCAACCAGCAACAAATATGATCCTGTGTATGGAAGTCCATGGATTTGAGTTTCAGCTTCATTCTGAATATTGTATGTTTGTATTGCATTTTTAAAATGATTGCCCGCTGCCTTGTGACTACTATGAGAGACTGTATAGAAATGGTGACTAGAAAGTGCCAGCGTGCCATGAGCAAACTAATAATAGTTTCATGTTCACAGTATTTGAGGCAAAAATATTAGTCTTACTGAGACATGCTCCTAATGCCCTGTGTTTTCATTCAACAGTGCACGTTTGAAGGTTGTGGCAAACGCTTTTCACTGGACTTCAATTTGCGCACACATGTGCGAATTCATACTGGAGACAGGCCCTATGTGTGCCCTTTTGATGGCTGTAATAAGAAGTTCGCTCAGTCAACTAACCTGAAATCTCACATCTTAACACATGCTAAGGCCAAAAACAACCAGTGAAACTCTGCAAGAAGAAAGCTCTTGGACTCAAAGCATCTTACTTTACAGGAGAATGGTTGAAAATGAATAAGCCTCCCCTTTGTATATTGTTTCTAGGAAAGAATTTAAAAAAACAAACAAAAAAAGAACCCTACACGCCTAAAGGACTTGTTTTTGATAAAGTGGCAAAATAAACTTTAAGGGTGCATTGCTGCAATGCTCGATTTTGCTCTATAATTTGGGTTTCGAGAGTACGGTGTTTTTGTAAAGCGTGGCCCCACCTGGAGGAGGCAAGACAGTTCATGGACTTGCATCAAAGACAGTTCTTTCTACAACAGTGCTAAAATTGGACTTTTCACATTGTTATAAATATGAAGCTCACCTGTTGCTTACAATTTTTTAATTTTGTATTTTCCAAGTGTGCATATTGTACACTTTTTGGGGATATGCTTAGTAATGCTATGTGTGATTTTTTTCTGGAGGTTGATAACTTTGCTTGCAGTAGATTTTCTTTAAAAGAATGGGCAGTTACATGCATACTTCAAAAGTATTTTCCTGTAAAGAGAAAAAAAAGTTATATAGGTTTTGTTTGCTATCTTAATTTTTTTGGTTGTATTCTTTGATGTTAACACATTTTGTATAATTGTATCGTATAGCTGTAATGAAATCATGTAGTAACAAATATTAGATGTGATTTAATAGTGTTAATCAACTTAAACCCATTTTAGTCACTTTTTTTGGGAAAAATACTGCCAGATGCTGATGTTCCGTGTACTTTCTCTTTGCCTGTTCAGTTAAGGAAAGTGGTGCTCAGTTGTAGAATGTATTGTACAGGCACTGACCTTTTAACAACACCTGATATGTACATCCCGTGTAATAGAGTGGGCAAAAAAATAAAACAGTGGTCCTGAAGAAAGAATATGGCAGAAAACAATCTGTAAGCACAGCCTATTTTTCTTCTGTTGTCCAGGACAAATTATAGTTCTTTAACGTCCCAGAAATTGGATGCTAAATAAAACTCAAGTTACCTTAACTACCCCCCTCCCCTGCCTTCAATTAGATTTTTAATGTAAGTGGTGTATCTTCATCATAGCACTAAACCCCCAACCTGAATAACACTAAGCAGTTGTGGAGATTTTGATCTTTCTGGATCATATGGAGCCTCCCATTGGGCGCTGCAGCTTTGACAGTGAAGTATAGCTTTTGGTTTTTTTTACATTCAGCAAGTGGTGGAGCAGGACAACCTATAGACCTCTGCTGCCTTGGTCTGATAAGGTAAGGTGATGACAGCTGCACCCATTAGTGGGGTGAGTCGTGCATGTGAATTGAAACACCAGAATGCTGAAGTAACCTGTCCTTGGCCTGGGGAGATGGTTCTTACCTTTGAGAATCTATAGAACAGTATAGTGCAGGTTGCATATTTTTTGTTGAACAGAGTATAGTTGCTGTCATTTTTCCTTCTTGGTGTCCAATAGCTGCCCTAAGTACCAAAACAGCAACAAGCTTAACTTGGATTCTGAGCCGAGAAAAGGGTGGCTTCTGCATCAGTGATGTGAATTTAAATGATACAACCTATTTTGTTTGACTCTGTAATGCGTTACTGTTGTACAATAATTCTGCATAACCTAAATCAAGGGACAATGGCAAGAAGCTGTGCAGGGCACCCAAGCCCCACCCCTGATCAATGGAAATTTTAGTAGCTTTTGAGGGCACTCCCCATGCTCACAAGAATATGACGGGATTCATCCTGCACAAGGACTTCTTCTGGCACAGCAGAGTCCCTCCCCCCCCCCCCCGGCACGCTGCATGTTGGCTAAGGGCATCGGGACACTCTTCAGTACCTTGTATGTTCAGGAGGGGGGCAGACCAAGCCATTCGCTTAGCTCTACATTGAATTCCTCTACTTTCAACCTAAAGGGCTAGGAACTGAGGGCTAGAAATGAGTTTCTTGGCAAGCTGAAATCTGAACCCTGTACCGTGTGCTGCAACTTCTGTTTTACACTTCTGCAGAATTGTAGCAGCTTGTATAACCGCTTAAGAGATTTTTAAAATATTAAGCGGTTTATAAATGCTTTTAAATAAACACAACCCTGGTTGTACAGAAACGTCATTGCTGCAATGAATCTGCAATTATTAACGAAGATCTAGCTTGCAACAGGACAGAGAATGGGTATATTGCTGCCAGTGTGCCCCCAGTGTCTGATTTTATATTCGAACTGGATGGGAAGTGGGAATACAATTTTCATGTGTCAGCGATGCAACTTCAAAATGTAAATCTCCTGGGCTTAAGTTCTTAATACGGGGAATGGAAACTAAGGTACCTGCTCAAGACTGAAGGTTTCTCATCTTGAAGCATCACTTCTGCAATAGTTTTGCTAAGGAATGGGATCTTGTGTTTCTGGAGAAACTTGCCCACCAATTAAATGCATCTTGGGGCCATCTCAAGCCAAGCCTTAGTTTTGTTTCTGTCTTGGTATCATCTGTCTTAACTCTGCTTACACTAATGTAAGCCAGCATTGGTAGACAAGTGTTTCCGTTTATGGACTCAACCTAAAAAAATCCTTTTCTCTTTTACACTTTGCTGTGTAGCACTTGCAATTGTGTATGCCTCCATAGAACCATATTTATGCCTAGCATAACATCAGGTTCTCTGTAAACAATGACAAATTCATGTACTACTTTCTGTACTGCATAGTTAACTGTACATGGTAACGCCATCTTATGTGTGAAAAGCGGCTTCTAAACTTGCTAAAGCTGATTAAATTTCAGTTTATTTTTTAAAAGGGAAGCAAGAGGAAGATGAAGGCAAGGGGAGTATTTGCTAGTGTTCCTTTCTCACCGTCTTGGTGTGCTGGTGTTTTTGAAGAGTCGTGAAGATGAGTGCTCTTGTTGCAGATCTCTCCTAGAACTTAAGAGCGGGAGATGTTGATAGCTGACCGTGCAGATGGGGAGCTGGTGGGAGTTTGGCGTCCCAACAATCTGCACAGCCACAGGTTTAGCCACCCCTGTGTGAGAGATGCAAGGATGCTACTTCATCATGGGACATGCCCCTTACAGGATGCATCTGAAGAATAGATGCAGGTCCCACTTTCTGAACACAATGCGTTCCCAGGAAATTATTTGTTAGGCAAGCGTTTGCATATAACGAGCTGATGATTTCCATTGTTTACTGTGAACAAATCACAGATTAGGAATGTTCACAATCTGCCTCCCTCCCTGAAATGGCTGCCGCTGACCAGCAAAACAGAAATAAGTAAGGAAGTGGGCAAACTCTGGTTGTTTGGATATCTGAATCAGCTGTCTGTGTAGCAAGGTTTGGGTATGATTCTTGGTGTTCAGCTGGCAGATTTTGGATAACTAGTGTTCTGATAGCGGCACCTGCATGTATATTTAATTCCTAAAAAAGAATTTAGCTTCTGAATTCCAGCTTGGGCAATGTCCACTTGCATAAGTGGGACTTCCTCTCATCCTCCATGTGCCCTCTTGTCCTTGAGACAAGTTAAAGCCTTAGAAGCGTCTCCCAAACTTGGTTCTCGAGTTGTTTTTGGACTACAATTCCTATCATCCCTGACCACTAGTCCTAGCTAGGGATGATGGGAGTTGTAGTCCAGAGACAACCGGAGAACCAAGTTTGGGAGACGCTTCTAAGGCTTTAACTTCACCTTTAGAAATACCAAGCACCTTTTGCTGCATGTCTGAATCCTCATTTAAAAAATACTGCCCAAGTGTAGCTGCAGAGTGTGCTGAACCTGAATAGGTATTTCAGTGGTGGGGAACCAGTAGATTCCCTGTGCTGGACTCTCAACTCCCATCAGCCCCAGCCAGTATGCCAATATACCAATTATGAGAGACTGGTAGGAGTTTTAGTTCTGCAACATCTGGAGAACCTCAGGTTCCCCACCTTTGATGTAGCGTAACCCTGAGGCTGAAACGGCACCCTTTGGAGTTCAGCAGCTACGCTCCTTCCTTCCCAGGACGTTGCCTTATTCTCTGGTTGCTGTTCATTTATAAAAAAAAAATACTACCATCTCCATAGGGTTTATAGGATAGCCTAACTATCAGTGTTGCCGGAGGAGACTCTTGAGAGTCCCATGGACTGCAAGAAGATCAAACCTATCCATTCTGAAGGAAATCAGCCCTGAGTGCTCACTGGAAGGACAGATCCAAAAGCTGAGGCTCCAATACTTTGGCCACCTCATGAGAAGGAAAGACTCCCTGGAAAAGACCCTGATGTTGGGAAAGATTGATGGTTGGACAGTGTTCTCGAAGCTACGAACATGCTCTGGTCCATGGGGTCACGAAGAGTCAGACACTACTAAATGACTAAACAACAACAACTATTAGTGTTATCAAAGAACCTGAATATTTGTCAGCAAACTAAACAGTCCTGCTATTGCTACTAGCACATGCATAGGCAAACTTGGCCCCCCAGATGTTTTGGGACTACAACTCCCATCATCCTTAGCTAACAGGACCAGTGGTCAGGGATGATGGGAGTTGTAGTCCCGAAACATCTGGAGGGCTGAGTTTGCCTATGCTTGTACTAGCACCTCACTTTTGGTATATATGACTGAACCTGACAGTCAGTGAGCTGGATGAGTTGTAGCAGCAAGTAGGCATTTTACTTGTGCTGTAGGAACAGGAATGGAATCTGCTAATCACAGTTGCTGGGTCCCCATTGCCACCATTCATTGAGGACAATTCTAAGCTGCTCAGTTGGTGCCATTTTAGACATTGGAGGCAGGTCCCTATCATAACTGCTGTTCCCTTTGTAAGGTGGAACGGTCAAGCCCTCTTCCAGCATCGAGGGCAGGGTGGTTGGGATGAGTGTACTGGTTCCATCCCAAAGTTGCCATTCTGGTTGCCTTCCACCTTCTGAAGGAGGGAGCCCCAACGAGTACAGAAAGCTCTCTACAGATTTCCTTTGGAACCCTGGAAAATCAAGGATGCAAAAGACAGGAAGCCTCCATGATCATAGGATGCTCCCTACAGACGATCACTTTTTGTGTGGGAATAAGATGCGGGTGGTGCTGTAGGTTGAACTACAGAGCCTAGGACTTGCCGATCAGAAGGTCGGTGGTTTGAATCCTGTGACGGGGTAAGCTCCCATTGCTTTGTCCCTGCTCCTGCCAACCTAGCAGTTCGAAAGCATGTCAAAATGCAAGTAGATAAATAGGTACCACTCCGGCGGGAAGGTAAACGGCGTTTCCGTGCGCTGCTCTGGTTCACCAGAAGCGGCTTAGTCATGCTGGCCACATGACCCAGAAGCTGTACGCTGGCTCCCTCAGCCAATAAAGCGAGATGAGCGCTGCAACCCCAGACTGGACCTAATGGTCAGGGGTCCCTTTACCTTTAAGAGCACATTTATCCCCCATGACTCCTTGCATGGTTACTGAAATTGTGGGCAGGAGATTATCCTTGAAAGCTAGCATTGTAAATCAGTTCTACATTACTGAAACAGCAGCTGCATTTGCCACAGTGACCAGAAAATTGCAAGTATGCTTTATGATTAATTTTGATATCTGAGTTGAATTTTATATATGGTAAGTTCTGTGGCTATGGATCTCGAATGGTTTTAAAATACGATGCTAATGCACATTTTGTAAATGTGATGTAAACGGGTGTGGGGTTTGCAAAGGACTTTGCTTATTGCAACACAGTATTTCTTCATCACTCCATTCACTTGGGTCGTAAACTTGCATGAATGGATGGAGAGTTTGAGGCATGGAAGGGACACGCAACTCTCCTTCCATTTCTGGAATTGCAAAAAATAAGAGCCAAGGGAACAAAACTACAGCAGCTTCCAACAGGTAACCTCCTGCCTTTGAAAATAATAGCGCTTCCCTATGAGAAAAGCACCACAATCGCTTCTTTCAAGTACTTACTGTTTCAACCAACTCCCAATTCTGATTTGCTTTGCGCAGGTTCCGAAGACCTTTTATCAGCAAGAAATGTCTTGCAACCTGTGGCTGGTTTGCAAAAATTGGGAGCTCTGCAAGAACCATCAACAGATCTGTTGCCTGCATTGCACTGAGGTTGTCCCATAAAACATACAATCATTAGGTGCTTGTCTTGCATTATCACGTGGGAGTGAAATATAGATGCACCTTTTGATGAAACTACAATATTATTTTAAAAAAAGATTTATTCATTCATTCTGCCTTTATGTACAACAGTTACAGAATACTGTACAAAAAAAGAGATAGTTGTCATTGCTTTGAATTTTTGTGCATAAACAGCTCGGATAGGTTTCACATTCAATTTGAGTGTCCTTGCCAAACAGGCAGCGAAACATTCAGTATACCTCCAAGGTATAGAAGCGATGAACCAGTTTTACAGGTTTCTCCAGAGTAACATTGGTTTAAAAATGCTGTTATCTAGGTAGGTATTTCATTAAAAGACCAGCCAGCCCTATTGCACCTCTGTCCCCAATAAAAAGGGTAAAATACCCACCATGGCCATCAGCTTGTGGGAGGTTCTTTATTATCAGTTGTGTTGTTTTATATCCCTTGCTTAAAGGTGGCTCCCACCACCACCCCCTGCCCAAAATTCCCTTCTCTAAATCTAAACCTTTTAGCACCTTATAGAGCATTGGCCTTCAGCAAATACATTGAGACCCTCAGCTGGGTTAGGCCTTGCTCTAAAGCCATTCACAGTAGTAGCAGCAACACTGCCATTTTCTTCTGGGCTTGCACGTTCTTGAGAGAAGAGCAGCAGAAAAATAACAAGGAGAAGAGTGAGCATATAAAGGAGGAAAGACATAAAAAGAAAAGGAATAGGTCTCACATTGAAGGTATGGCAAAGACAGAGTTTCTCAAAGTTGGGTCTCCGGTTGTTTTTGGACCACAATTCCCATCATCCCTGACCACTGGTCCTTGTGGCTACGGATGGGAGTTGTAGTCCAAAAGCAGCTGGGGACCCCAGGGTTAAGAGAACCATGGTTGGGGAAGAGCCATGGCTGAGTGGCAGAGCATCTGGTTGGTCAATCCCCGCCAGGCAGGGCTGGGAAGGAGACTCTTGTCTGAAACCGTGGAGAGCTGATGCCAGTACTGAGCCAGATGGAGCAATCGTCCGACTCGACATAATACAGCTCCCCAATCGTGCTTTGGATATGAAGGGTTTTGAGGAAGACCCCCTTTCAATAAACCATGGTTAACACAAGTGACTCTTGACTAAGAAGTGTTTGCCAACAGGTTCTCTGCGTTGCCCTGTACGAAATAGAGATGTGAATATAACTCCTGCTCCCCCAGTTTTTCTAATTGGGTCAGATCTAGGAGTTATTTGCCTTGTGGAGCTTGGAATTCCTCTGGCTTTTGACCTTAGGAATTTCATGCTACCTTGCACATTGTTCTGCTCACATGGGAAGCGTTGAAAGTAAGGTTCACAAAAGGGGTCAAACCATTGCAAGAGGTGTTGAAATTTTGGGAGGTTGGATAGTTACAATGGAATGGTCTTGGGGGTGGGGTGCACATTTTTATTTTTATTTATTACTATTTTGTTGAAAATAATAAAATAATAAATCAACTTAATAATAATAATAATAATGAAAGGTTCACAGAGAACAAAACTTGGAAAGAGGAAGTATCCTGTAATTATTCCAAGGGAGTATTCCTGGCTTTCTTTTCCTAGCTTCAAATGTGTGGAAATTAGTCAAGGGCTATGCTTCCATTTCAATTTTACCTCTGTCCGTAGGATGTTTCTACACCAGAATTAAGAACACCTTTGCGGACTAGGAGGAAGGCTTGGGGACATGCCATGTGTTATGCAGGGCTTGTCTAAAACCACCTCCACAGGTGGCAACATTATGCTCCTAACAGAGCAATAGGACCTGTAACGTTCGTATCTGGCCTCAATGAAGTATGGTAAAATTCTCCTTCACTTGGCAGGGTAAAAGAAGACAGGTTTACAGCTCTTGGTAGGCTCTTAATACTGGTGACTGGCCAACAGCGATGGCTCCAAAGCACGACTCTATGCATACCTCTTCAAAAGTATTTGGAGTTCAATGAGACTCATAGCCAGCTAAGAGGAGATAAGACTGCAGCCTAAGCCTCTTGTCTCTAAAGAAAAGTAAATCTCACTCTCACTGACCATCCAGCTAACTTGCACGGATTCTAACGAACGTTTGAGGTCAACAGAGCTAGAACAACATACATGCCAGTGTTGAACCGTATGACAAATGTCCTGTTTGTTCCTGCACGACAGAACTTCTCCTCCACAACCATTCCACAGGGTGGGGGAAACCCCAGAACAAACTTGGGAGCCCTGCGAGGGGAGAAGTTCTATGGCCCAAGCAGAAGCTGTGGTGCAAACGGGACAACTTTGTTGGGCATAGCCCTGCGGAATAGGCCAAAAAGTTGCCAGAGGCTCTCTTGATAAGCTTGCCTTCCAAACTGCACTGTAACAAGAGAGAGATGAGGAGCTACAAAGGTGCTATATTGTCAATATGCACCTGCATCTTTCACACCTGCACTGGGAAGCTGCAGCCTTATAGATGTTGCTCATGTAAAAGTCCCATGGCCCTTGCTCACGCTGGCTGAGGTTAATGAAGCCCTGCTTTGCTCCCTCTCATTATAGTTAGGTATCATTCAATGCTGTGCTGACACACATCCCAGTCTCAGGAATGACAACTTTCAGCTCTGCAGCTCACTTTCCTCACAACAATCAGCGCTGTTAAGCTTTCTGGATAGGGATGCCTTGCATTATGCAGCAACTAGCAAGGTAGGTAAGCTTTATCAGAAGTGCATAGGACTTTCCTGCGTTCCTGAATGATTTTTAGTGCAACCTGCAGTACATTAGGAAAAGGCAAATTGCATCCTTCGTTGCTTGTCTAAGTGCATATACATGCACACACTCACAGAGGAGTCAGGCGCTTCCTGTCAAAAGTACAGCAAAACGGGGGAAGTGGGAGAACCCAGCAGGAACCCAGCTAAGAAACTTCACAACCAAGAGAAAAAGAAGGATGTTGATATGCTGTACTGAAAGGTTCACAGTATGTGGGATTTCCAATGACTAATGCACCAGCCTTGATAGCAAGAACAGTAAATGCTCAAGCATGTACCATTTACGGAATTTCTCATGGTAAGAAGAGTCAGGGACAGGGACCTGCAGGCCTTCAAATAGTGTAGGCCAGAGGTTTCCAAACTTTTTGATTCCACTGCTCCCTTGACCAACTACATTTTTTTCTGGGGCACCCCTGTGGGACTCAGGAGCCCAGTTACGTCACCCCCTTGGCTGCAGAGCTGGCAGCCTCTCGTTCCTTTTCAAACAGCCTCCCTTGCGGAGTGTTCCCTCAGCCTCCTCGCCTCTCTCCCTGGAAGCCCTCTGGGCAGCCACTGCTGCTACTCCTAGTCTCTGAGCTTCCCCCCACTGCCCCAAAGAGAAGTGCCTCCTCAGACTGCCCCACAGGGGGCTGGGAAGCACCCCTTGGCCTGCCCCAGAGGCACCATCCGCTTGGGGAGCTTACAGCCAGGGCTGCAGCAACGAACAGCTGTGCAAGCCTTTGGGAGGCAGAGACATGAGAGGGCAAGGGAGGAGGAATAGAAGGAAAGAGAGTCAGAGGCCAGTGTTGCCCATGGCACCCCTGACTTTCATTCAAGGCACCCCAGGGTGCCACGGCACACTGGTTGAAAACCACTGGTGTAGGGACACAGGTTCCCTGATTCCCAGTCACTGAGTATTGCTGGTGGGATTCTGCCTAACAAAGGGGTGATTAGGCAATGGCTTTAGCGCCACCTGAAGCCAGGTTTTCCAGCACATCTGGATTCCTCTCTCTTTTCGTGCTGTGAGGGCAGGGGATTAAAACTGCTTGGGTGAACATTAGGGTTGCCATAGGTCCGGAATTTCCCGGACATAGCTGGAATCAGAAGCAGTGTCCGGGTGGAAATCAGCTAAAATGTCCAGGAAAATCTGGATGTATGGCAACCCATGCCGGCAGTGTCAAGTTTTTTTTTTGCAGATTTTCATTAAAAATAGCTCCAAAAAGTCAACAACTTTGGGCAAAACTAAAAAAAAGCTGGACTTTCAGTTTTTGAAATATGGCAACATGTCCTGATCTTGACGAGGTTTCCTAATGCACTTAGCAATTCCTCTCTACATCTTCCCTCTCAAAACGGAAAGGTCAGAAATGGAGCCAGTCCACTGAGACATTCAGAGAGGGAGTTTTGTGTGCTTGCCCTTGCCCCCCTCCCTCCGTTTTATCCCACACACTTTCAGGCAAATGCCTGAATAAGGCTCACATCTCTATTCAAGCAGAAACACGTAAGGCAAAGAAAACCCATCCTGCTAGAATGTGCGCCAGCTGCCTTGCCATCCCAACATGCATGGCGCCATTGTCTGCAAGGGAAACCCACCAACATTCAACTGTGCAAGCATAACGTGCTGCACAGAATCAGGACCCCAGTGCTGCTCCCTGCCCCTTCTCCACCATTTATGCATGGAGAATGCTTGCATAGGGGCTTATATCAATACTGAATGGGAATAGGGTAGGCTGGGGGTCTTTTATGAGGTTTGTAGCAGCAGCTAGGCCATGTGCCAAATAATGAACTGCTGGAAGGTAGGATGAGGTCTATTATTATTTTTTTAAGACAATGTTTATATATATATATAAAAAGCAAGTCCTCTTATTACCTGGATTTCTAGAACAGATCTGCTGCTTTCATAAAGGAGGTGAAATCCTAAGTAACGATAAAAGGATGCTTTATACAGACAGAAATTTACAGTTTCTACATCCAGATTTTAAAAAAAAAAAAAAAGAAAGGAAAAAATAAAATAAAAAGAAGATCACTTGCTTCCGTTTGGGAATCTAAAAGCTTGAAGGCTGCTGGATCGCCGGACCAGCCTCACATCCACTTAGATCACCTCGGATCTGGTTCTCTTCCGACCTCATGTACATGAGGAAGACAGTGACTGTGGCAAAAGTAGCAGCATTCACGGGGAAAGCTCGAAGCAGCGTGGAGGTGAGGCCTCTTGTGAATACCCTCAAGCCTTCGGCGTGGTAGCTTTTCCTGACGCAGTCCAGAATGCCGTGGTAGCGCACAATCCCGCCGACCCCATCTGCTTGGAGGCGAGACTTGATCACGTCTACGGGGTACGTGGAGAGCCAGGAGACAATCCCAGACATGCCTCCCGCCAAGAGCAGTTTGGGGATGATGTAACTGTCCTCCGCCTCGCATCCCAAGTACCTGGTGAGGCAGTCGTATGTCAGGAAGTAGAAGCCAAAGCTGGGCGTCTCCCTCATGAACGTGGAGACCATCCCCCGGTTGATGCCTTTCAGCCCTTCCTTCCGGTAGATCTTGACCAAGCAGTCCAGGGAGTTTTTGTAGTTCTTGGACTTCAGCTTATATTCGCCCGTCCCTTGCAGCTGCATCCGCGTCTTAGCCAGCTCCATGGGGCAGCAGATGACGCACTGGATGGCGCCGGCCGCGGAACCGGCAAGGAACTGGTTCATTGGAGTGTCCTTTCCGAGAGCACGGAGTGTGTTCCCTTGAACGCCGAACACGAGGGCGTTGATGAAGGTAAGTCCCATCATAGGTGACCCAATGCCTTTGTAAAGTCCAAAGGTCTAGGAGAGAGAAAACAGAAGGGAGAAATTGGCATTTGGTGAACCATCTTCACAATTCAAAATGTTGCTGCTGACCTTTAAAGCTCGCAATGGCCTCGGCCCAGTATACCTGAAGGTATACCCATCGTTCTGCCCGGACACTGAGATCCAGCTCCAAGGGCCTTCTGGCAGTTCCCTCTCTGCAAGATGTGAGGTTACAGGGAACCAGGCAGAGGGCCCTCTCGGTCTTGGCGCCCGCCCTGTGGAATGTCCTCCCAGCAGATGTCAAGGAAATAAACAACTATCTGACTTTTAGAAGACATCTGAAGGCAGCCCAGTTTAGGGAAGTTTTTAATGTTTGATATTTTATCACTTTATTGTTGTTGTTGGTATTCTGTTAGGAGCTGCTCAGGGTGGCTGGGGGAACCCAGCCAGATGGGCAGGGTAGGTATGAATGAATGAATGAATGAATGAATGAATAAATAAATAAGAAAGACTTGGCTAATATTAGCCAAGTCATTTTTATTCAGTTCTTTTTAAAAACATCAGATTTAATACCAAATTCCAAAGTCAACTTCCTACCTTTCCAGGTTGCATTATACGTATTTATTCCACAATACTTTCATTACTGTTATATTTTATTTTGCATCCACTGCTGAAAATTTAATCCTGCCTGTGATTCCATTTAACGCATAAAAATCTTCACAGCCTTCAAAATGTTTCACTTGAAGGTTCCTGCAACCTTCTATTCCGGTTAAGAAATAGGTTAGGCTAGCATCACCCCACGTGAGACCATTCATCTATCTAGTTCAGTGTTGCAAAAAGGCAAAGGTAAAGGACCTCTGGACGGTTAACTTCAGTCAAAGGCGACTATGGGGTTGCGGCATTCATCAGGCTGAGGGAGCCAGCGTTCGTCCACAGATAGCTTTCCGGGTCATGTGGCCAGCATGCCTAACCCCTTCTGATGCAACAGGAAACTGTGATGGAAACCAGAGCGCACGGAAACGCCATTTACCTTCCTGCTGCAGCAGTACCTATTTATCTACTTGCACTGGCGTGCTTTCAAACAGCTAGGTTGGCAGGTGCTGGGACAGAGCAATGGGAGCTCACCCCGTCACGGGAATCCGCATCTGCCAACCTTCTGATCGGCAAGCCCAAGAGGCTCAGTGGTTTGACGACAGCACCACCTGCGTCTACACTGTCTGGCAGACAGCAGCATTTCCCAGCCCTACCTGGAGACTGAACCTGGGAACTTCTGCATGCAGGGCAGAGGCTCTGTCGCTGGGCTATGACCCTGCCTCAGCTAACCAGTAAGAATTCAGAAATCTCAATCCTTTTGTCAACACGCCTTCCCTCAAGTTATTTCTCCCTGTGTCATGACAATGTTGTTTGAGTGGGTATGGATAGCAGTTGCAACAAGAAAGCTTTAAGTTGAGTTGGAAATAGACATTTATTATTATCTGCCTCCTTTACTTCCTTAGGGCATGCACACCCTTCAGTAGCTCAGTCAGCTAGAGCATGGTGCTCTTAATGCCATGGTTGCAGGTTTGATCCCCATATGGAACAGCTGCATATTCCCACATTGCAAGGGATCAGATTAGATGATCCTCAAGATCCCTTCCAACTCTACAATTCTATGATCCCAACTTTAAAGACTTAGACAGTAATCCCTTCTGGGCAAGGGATGGAGACAGGCAAAATTGCCACAAACTTCTCTGAACCCACAATAACTCATAGGGTGGGGGTCAAAATGTCCCATTGGGCTCATAGAAGGGCTTTGAAGCCAGCAAAGCCGTCTGCTAATGAAAAAGAGGATGCAATTTTTCAAAGAATCCCCATCTGCCTTCAGCCCTCAGCCACCACAAACCAGCTTGAGAGTTGGGGCCCCTCACAGTGTTTGAGCATCTGCTTTGCATGCAGAAGGCCTCAGGTTCAGTCCTCAGCATCCTCTGGCAGAGCTGCAAGAGACCCCTCTCCCAAACCCTGGAGAGCTACTGCCAATCGGTGTAGACTATTCTAAACTAGATGGACCAATGGTCTAACTCGTTATAAAGGTGCTTTCTATGTTCCCAAGACTGTGCCCAGCCTCTGTTTAGTTATCTTTCCCCTTAATGTGAGGAGAAATCCCAGCACACTTGAATGCTATCTTGAAACAAACCCCCACATCCTAAGGATGCTCACATCTTAAAAGGAGCTGCAACGTTTGGTGGGGTTTGTTTTATGGAAACCAAACTTCGTGACCCCATTTCATATGGCACAGGGGCAAATATGTTGTGCTTAAACTCCATGAATAACATTAGAAAGCTCCTTCTGTCCCACTGAATTAGGTTCACTTTTCCTAAGTACTCCTTCGGAAGTAGCTGCATTTAAAATCAGTACCTGGTAACTATATCTCAAAGAGTTTTTCTGGGCTACAGTGGTACCTCGGGTTAAGAACTTAATTCGTTCTGGAGGTCCATTCTTAACCTGAAACTGTTCTTAACCTGAAGCACCACTTTAGCTAATGGGGCTTCCCACTGCCGCCACCGCACGATTTCTGTTCTCATCCTGAAGCAAAGTTCTTAACCCAAGGTACTATGGGTTAGTGGAGTCTGTAACCTGAAGTGTCTGTAAGCCGAGGTACCACTGTATTTGTCTTCCATCTATCATAAAGTTCTCAAAAACCGTACAGAATCGTACAACTGCGGCAACTGGTTGAGTACTTGTAAACGTATATTGGTGTGTGTACAGCTACGGAGGAGGCAGAAAGTTGATGACAGCAGCAACTGGCCATGTCTCCACCCCCATTGTTCTGCCCGGACACTGAGGTCCAGCTCCGAGGGCCTTCTGGCACTTTCCTCCCTGTGAGAAGTGAGGTTACAGGGAACCAGGCAGAGGGCCTTCTCGGTTGTGGCGCCCGCCCTGTGGAACGCCCTCTCAGCAGATGTCAAGGAAATAAGTAACTATTTTACTTTTAAAAGACAACTGAAGGCGGCCTTGTTTAGGGAAGTTTTTAATGTTTGATGCACTATTGTTTTTAATATTTGGTTGGAAGCTGCCCAGAGTGGCTGGGGAAACCCAGCCAGATGGGCGGGGTATAAATAATAAAGTATTATTATTATATGTCAAGTCATGACTAAGGAAGCGTCACATGGCTGCCCATGTGGCTCTTTGACCAACCAAGGAGCAGTCGCATGATTAATGGCTAGCTGCAGATGGGGAAGCCCCTGTTCCGATCACGCTTCCATTAGCATTTGGAAGAAAAGTCCATCATTGCGGCATGAGGAGTATTTATTGTGGCCAATTGGGGATCTTCCCTTACTGACCTGTAGAGCTATTTCGACACGTCCCTTAGGGAAGTTACTTAACTTTGGTTTCACTTCCCATTCAGTTATCAGCTGCTAGTTACATCTGGGCAGGAGCGAAGCAAGATTAAGTCGTGCCTTCGCGTATCACGAGCCCCTTCGTAGGGAAAACTGGCACACCAGGAACATGACTAAGCTAAACCTCTCTCTGATCTGCAGGGAGCCAAATTCCAAGGCAACTGTTACGGGTGTTGTGAGGAACTTCCCCTGCTTTAAAACAGGGGTAGAGGGGCATCTCTCAACCCAAGGGCCACAAAGCCCTGCTGGGCTACATTCTAGGGCCACATGCCAATCGTGGGGGTGGGGGAAGAGGCAAAAGTGGGTGGAGGGCTGGTGAGGGGGTGTGGCCTGGGGAGAGTGCTGATGGCCACAGAAAGAGGTCTGGAGGGCCACATATGGCACCTGGGCCTAAGATCTCTGCTTTTAAGAAAACCACCCACATATTGTGGTCCTGATAAAAAAATTGCCCACAATCCTCACCACTAGTTTGCAGTGCCAATGTTGATTAGGGCCCCTAATCAGGTGCTATTTGTAGTTTAACTTCTTTAGTTTGGTGTTGCATTTATCCTTTTTTCCCTAATTTGTCCCTTTGTTTCTTAGAGTTACTTTTGGTTTTTTTTCTCATGGGGGTCTGCTCAAACATATGCAAGTCTTCTCTGTTCCCCATTCCAAAGTGGAAGAGTCTAAGACTCATTCTCGGGGCAACGGCTCTAATAATTTGCTCCAGTGAGAGCAGAAAATATGCCAGTTATGGTGTGTGTGAGATGGCTAAAAACCAGTTAATGTGCCTGTACTTTACTTTTATAAGCCGAAACATTGAGCTAACTAGTTTCCACTGGAATCCATTTAGGCGAACTTCATTTTAACCGTAGCGATCGAACAACTGTCTGCCTTTCTATAAGGCACTTTTTGTACAGTCGTAAAAACAATAAAATCACGGTATAGAAACAAAAGAATGAAAGAGATGGCACAATAAGCATCTACTAGTTAAAAACCACAAAAAATGTTTTTTAAAAACAGCAGACTTTAAAGCAAATGGCATCAGCAACAGAGGCAATTAAATCCTAATGGAACGTTAAAATTCTCACGAGATGCACTGAAATAAAATAGTCATCATTGTCCAATCAGTGATGTGACCAGACCCCACCCTGGGAGGCTGTTCCACTACTGAGAAGGACCTCCACAAGGACACTCTTGATGGTGAGGGAACCTGAAAGAGTGGCTTGGATCTAGAATGGAGTTCTTGAGCCAAGCCCTGTGGGGGGAGGTGATTCTTGAGATATTCTTTGATAGTTTAGAACTTTAAAGAGCAAAGAACAGCACCTTGAATGGAGCCTGGAAGCCATCTAGAGACCAGCACCCTAGAAGAAGATCAGCTAACATGAGCTGATGGAGCAACTCGGGTCATAACCCCTGACAACTACAGTCTATCCGAAATTTCTGAATCGTCTTCAAGGACAGCACATTGCAATAATCTAACCTGGAGGTGAAGAGATCAGGAAAGACCTCAGGCTGATCTGATTCCTCCAAGAAAAAGAGTCTATTTGGCATAGCAGATGAAGTTGGCTGAAGGTACTTTTGGCCTTCAGCTGTCATCTAGGCGTCCAAGTGAAAGGGGAACCCAAGGGTCAGATCTCTAATTAAAATTTGTAGTGTGAGAGCTGTAACGGGCTAGTTAATGCAAGATAGCAACCACAGATCATGTGAGAGGATCCAGTTGGAGCTCCTCTGCACAGCCGCATTGCAAACTCCTCCCATAGGAACAATAAGAACAGCCTGCTGGATCAGGCCAATGGCCCATCTAGTCCAGCATCCTGTTCTCACAGTGTCCAACCAGATGCCTGTGCGAAATCTTCAAGCAGGACCTGAGCACAAGGACACTCTCCCGCACCTGTGGTTTCCAGAAACTGGTATTCTGGTCTAGCAATCCAAAGTGGCCTGGCGAATTCTGAAGTGACATGAAAGGTGACAGGAAAAGAGCCTTGCTGCTGCTGAAGCAGCTCCCGTGACACCCATGGTGAAAAGGAGCTCCTAGGCTTTATTCATGAAAGGCTCCTTCTCCCTTGAATACAGTGCAAAACATGAGTGAAGAGCACAATCACTGAACAAGCTACTCACCGTCTCTTGCTTTATGATGGACTGAAAACAGTGCAAGGTCCCCCGGTAAAGTGGCTTCTCCACATTTTGAACTTGAAGGCGTACCTACAAAACGTAGTGAGAATTCGTTGGCATGGCAAACAAAATAAATGAAAATCAGCAGGCAGAAGTATGACAGCACCTTTGACTGGGCACACATAAGGTGCATCGATGTGCACCCAGTCCTGACACCAAAGTGCCATAGCAGGCAATTTAAAAAATGGTCAGTATTTTGGGAGTCACTCAGTTTAGTGCTCAAGTCTGCATGAGATGGGAATGATTAATAGGGGATGGTGCTTGTCCCCCTTACTTCAAGCTATCTGAGGTTTCATTAGCACACGTCATTATTCTCAGCTATGAAATAAGGCCGGCGAGGATCTACTCAGTGGTCATGAATGGCCAAATTTAAAGGATGTTAGTTGAGGTCCATAAACAGCTACTTGTCTGGTTGCCTATGATGAACAAGAATATTCTACAGGCGATCAGGAATGGAGTTCATAGTTTTTCCTTTTAGACCGCAGCTAACTAACAGATATGTGAAATATATCCAATTTTTATGAACCCTAAATCTTAAAGAAGCTGCCTGTATTTTAGACAATAGAGTCAGAAAATCCTGCTTTGAGGGACCTACAGTTTTTTTAACCAATAATGCTTTTTTAAGCATTGTGGGGCAGTCTCTCTTTGCGGCCTGTTAAAACATTACCACGCAGATGCTCTAAGGTTCTTACATTTTTGCCATAATGCAATTTTCTATACCATTCCCATTACATTATGCCAGTTTCCTTCTTTCAATACTGCTGAAGCTGAACCCTGGCATATAAAAACACTTAAAATTCAAATTGAAAACACACACTGAGAGTGAACCCCACAGACCAACCAAGTACCAACACCTAAAAATGCATCAATACAGATATGGTTATAACATTTGCGTGTGGCAGGGGGGAATAAATAAATAAATAAATAAATAAATATTAAAAGTGGGAACCTCAATTTAAGGAGTGGCTGAAAACAGAATTCACAAGTTTTGTTCCACAAAGTACATATATAAAATCTTTTTTAAGCACGTAAAAAAGCATATAAAATCTTTTTAGTGCACTCTAGGAAAACGAATGCAAAACAAAGTCAGGTTTTCTTTTACAAGCTCGTATTCAAAATAAACCTTGCATACTGCAAATCCCCACCCCCTCCACTTCAGAGCACGAGAAACATTTTTAAACTAAAAAGGAAAAAAAAAAAGAAAGAGGAAGGGAATAAACTACATATGGTTTCCTGGTAATTTTTATTATTATTTTTTGTTGTCTTTATAAAACTTGAACTAATCATACATGTTGGAAAAAATTAAGACCGAGAGAAACAGAAGGTTCACCTGGTCTATACTTACTAGGTAACTCTCCCGTGATGAGGCTTATCTGTCATCTACAACAAAGTAACACTTTTGCTGTTAATGAAGACAGCCCCTAGCTCAGAAAGTAAAGGCAGTTAAGCAACAAAGCAATTGTACACATTACATCAACAAACTGGGGGGGAGGAGGAGGAGCAGGAAAGGATTTGCCACTCGAAGAAGACCTGGTTCAGGTTCAGTTCAACATCTCTGATGTTTTTTCATCTCCCCCACCAGGTTCCCACAAAACCCAGACATTGCTTTATCTGTGCAACTAGTGGAAAAAACAAGCTTCAGAGAGGAAATTAAGCTTTGCTTTGGATCCCTCCCCAAGATGTATTTATAGTTTCAAAATGAAGTTGGCCTTTAGAAAATTTGCTTTAAAAGATAAATTTAAAAAATAAAATGAAAGCTAAGAAATGTTTAGCCATCCAGGTAAGTTACGGGACTCACAAGGAAAGAGTTATAGGGCTTAATGCAGCGACACGAGATTTAGATCTGCATAAACTGCCTTTTTACAAGACCAGGTTATTATTACCTAGCAGATTAAAGTACAGTAAGTTAGTCTAATATTTGCAATCCTGTGCAGACTTTCTTGGGAACAAGTCCCCCGATGGGAATGACTTCCAGTAAACATGGACAGGATATGCAACTGGTAACTGACAGCACGATCCTCTCTAATTGTCCACTCGGAAATAAGTCCTGTTAAGTTCACTTACTCCCATGATAAGTGTGTATAGGATTGCAACCTTAAAACAGAATCCCCCCCTTTGCATTGTTAGTAATGTCATTGTACCTTCAACAACATGGTAGCAAGTTAACTGAGGGATTTGTATATCCATCGTAATTAACTAATACCCCATCCCTGAATACATTTGCTTTGCAAGTATGCTCAATGGAATGTGCTTCCAAGTAAATGCATTTCCTGGTCCCAAGATGTGGTCCGAGGGCACATGCTGCAGGCACCACTCTGAAGCTAAGCAGGTATGAGTCTGGTCAATGCCTGGATGGGAGACCGCCTAGGAATCCCATGGACACCACCTTGAGTTCCATGATGGAAGAAAGGTGGGATAGAAATATACTAAAATTTAAAAAAAAAAAAAAGGTTTCAGTTCAGGGTGCCAGACTATGCCTTCACCCTCTCAGCTAAGCCCAATTCCATTAAGTTAAAAAAGAAGAAGTGAAGAAGATTAAGAAAACCAGTCAGTCAGAGTTTTGGTTCTGCAAACATGTCCATAAAATGAAGGATCATAGTATTATCCCCTATGGGACAAAATGGGATTCAACGGAAATTCAACGGACTCAATGGAAACGGTTTCTCAAGCAAAGGATACACCATTGCATGAAATGACTGAATTTTACAGCTACAAACCAACAGACTTCACATTTCATCCATAATTGTTGCACCTATTAAGTATGGGATGTTTTAAGGTTATGAATGTTAATCAGCACATTTCCTCAGCCAGAAGATCCTTAAACCCTTGCTCCAACCCACACTTAAGCTGAAATTATTGGATTTACTTGATCCTGTGCATGGGTACTCAGAAGTAAGCCCTACAGCGTTCAATGAGGCTTGCTCTCAAGCAAGCGTGCAAATGACTAAAGCCCAGCTTAGACTCATGCATTCCAATCCATGGGCCAGTCCAGTCCTGTTTTGAGATGCTATTTGACTGCTGTGCAGGCACAGATTTTAAGTGATATGCCTAATTGGATCTCATTTCCCACCCGCAATCGGCCACTTCTGTTTTGAGTTCAACCAATTAAATGTCAGCTTCCCGGACCAGGGGGCGGGGAGAGAAAAAGAAGAAGAAAAGTATTCCTTTGTGAGCTCACAATATTTCCCCAAGGGTGGGAGGAAGCATGTTAATTAGCAAGACTGTTTCATCATGTTGCAAACTGTCATCCGGGAAATATAATTAACAAATGTATGTTTCCCCAAAGCGAGCAGGAAAACAAAAAAATGTAGCAAACATCAACAATGCACCTTTAAGTGCAGTGCAACCCCCCCACCTGTTTTTTGCATTAGTCCTAAAAATCTGCATCTTCCATAAGCATTTTTGCTAGATGCTGCTGGATTGCTGAGTTAAAAAAAAAGGGGGGGGGGTCCTGAAGACCCAATAATCAGAGCACTTGAGTAAAGGGGGACTATCAATTTGGAACTTTTTAATCTGCTGCTAATTTGGCTTCACTGTGGGATGTTTCAATGCTTCAGTATGTCTGAAAATCTAATTCAAGATCTCTATACCAGGATTTGGCCTATGAGGATTTTTATTTAATGGGTCCAAAACATCTGAATTCTAAAAAACAAAAACCCTTTCTACTCATAAGGGCTAGTGCTATCTTCGGCCTAAATGTTTATGATTAAGTAAGCCTGTGGAAAATCAACCCACCTTAACAGTATCGAATGGATGTCCTACCAACACGCCGGCAGCACCTGAAATGAAGAAGAAGGCATTATGAGACAATCTGGCATTCTACCACTATAACCCACCACAGAAGCAACTATTTGCAAAGCACAGAAGACTACAGAAGTCACACGGTTGCTGTCTATAGGACTCAGGTAGGAGGGATGCGGGTGGCGCTGTGGTCTAAACCACTGAGCCTCCTGGGCTTGCTGATCAGAAGGTTGGCGGTTCGAATCTGCACGACAAAGTGAGCTCCTGTTGCTCGGTCCCAGCTCCTGCCAACCTAGCAGTTCGAAAGCACGCCAGTGCAAGTAGATAAATAGGTGCCACTGTGGTGGGAAGGTAAACAGCATTTCCGTGCACTCTGGTTTCTGTCATGGTGTTCCGTTGCACCAGAAGTGCTTTAGTCCTGCTGGCCACATGACCTGGAAAGCTGTCTGTGGACAAACACTGGCTCCCTTGGCCTGAAAGTGAGATGAGCGCCGCATTCCATAGTTGCCTTTGACTGGACTTAACTGTCCAGGGATCCTTTACCTTTATAGGACTCAGCCCTACCATATTTGTGGCTTCCCTCAAAGGATCCTGGGAAATGTATTTTATTAAGGGTGCTAAATGTTGTTTGGAGACTCCTATTCCTCCCTAACAGAGCTACAATCCCAGAGTTCCCTGGGAAGCAGGACTGATTGCGAAACCAAAAACCCTGGAGAAGAATACCCAGAACAGATGAGTTCAAGACCATTCCGAAGGTCTGATTTGTAGGGGTGACAACCACAATCTTGTTAGAAGGGAGTTCTCTAACTGACGGTGGGGACACCACCGAGAAGGCGGCGTCTTTTGTGGCTGCCAACCTGATGGATGTTGTAGGCAGTCAAATGAGCAGAGCCTTCAAGGTGCATCTTAACACATGGGGAGATGGGGAAGGAAACTCCAAGCTCATCTTAAGACTGTATCCAATCAACTCATCCTATTCACCCAAAGACCTCTGCTTGTGCACCTCTTCTGACCCCCCCAGTAGAAATTATGGGGAAAGGGTATGGGTTGAGAAGAGGAGGAGAGGAAGTTACATTGCACAAGCAGAGGTCCTTTCACAAAACAGAATAACTTTACTGGATGCAATTCCTAGACTCCAGCTCCCATCAGCCCCAGCCAGTATGGCAGATGACCAAGGATAATGGGAATGACAGTCCCACAATATCTAAAGGGAAACACAGGTTAGCCACTGTATCTGAGACCAAGTGCTAGTGCTCTAATAAGATTGTGGTAAGCATGCAATTGCTGTAGGAAGTGATGCAAGTACTTAAAAAAAACAACAACCCCACATTTTTAAAGCAAGTATTTGAACAAGTATGGCTAGGGGGATTGATGTTTTTCAGCCTACATATTTTTAAATATTTTCTGCATAGCACCTTCAAAAATAAAGCAGGGTTAAAATGTCAACAGGCTCCTGTTAATTTCTTCCTTTAAGGATCCAATTGAGTGCCGCTGTGTTAATCTTATTAAAACCGATTTGGCAAGGACTTAAAAATCACACGCAAAGTGGCATACTTAAAACTGCAGCAGATGAAGATATTAAGTACAGAGTGTTCTACATAACCCCGAACTGTGCCTGCAGAGCGGGGGAGAGAGAAGAGGGAAGTCAACAACAGAAGGGAGAAGGAAAGCCTCAATAGGCTGAAACCAGCCAGCTACTCGCTGTTGTAACTTTCACTGGAGGAAGACGACATCTCCAGAGTCAGACCTGCATTGCTTCATCAAAATCAAGGCAAGGAGACACACACTTTGTTTCTTCTTTCTCTCTCTTTCTCCCCTCAAAACATACAATCTTGGGACATGAGCACCTGCCAAATTGTGTTTTAGCCCACAAGCGGTTATGCCATAATAAAGATGCTAGTTTTTAAGGCGCCATGATCTTTATTATTCTTGCTGCAAGTTCCTAATGCAGCTAAAATAAAAAAGGGGGGAAACCCATCCAGCACTATGAGGAAGCTAACTTTGAAATTGTAGGCTATATCCAAGCAAGTCATACTCAGAGTAGCCATATTCATTATCTTGAATGGGTTTATATTGGCTACAAACCTGTATGATTTTTTTTGGGGGGGGGAGGACAGATTGGGTAAAGTGGCTGTCACCACTCCAGCGGTGCACACAATAAGGACACCTCAAGAATTTCAAAGGGGCAGAAATAATAAGACTCGAAGCCCCACACCACAAAAAACAGCGCCATCCTCTATGGGTGTAGCCAGGGAGGCAACTGCTCCCCCTAAACCGAGCAAATAAATAAAATTCTTGACTAAAAGTAGAAATAACCAGAATATTTGAGGTCACTTGGATGGTGTTGTGGTGCGTTCTATCAAAGACCCTGGCAGATTTTTCTGACCACTTGAGGTCAAAAGAAAGGAATTGAAAACAACTGTTGTTGAGGCATTTCATTCCGCCTCTGCCAGACTGAGGGTGATGACAGGTCCTGTCCCCAACATAAATCCTGGCTACGCCCATGCCGCCGCTCCCCCCCCCCCAAAATATGCTAGCAGAGAGGTGAGTGGCATCCCTTGGCAGAAGAAGTCCATTTGTTTCCTTTTTGCTCTGTCCCCCCCCCCCCCCAGAGGAAGGAGGTTCTTGCTTGTCCCTCCAGCACAAGACACTTCAGGAAATTGGTCCACAGCCCCACCTTCCTACAGAACACAGCCCTATAATAAGGGTTAGAGGGGGTTGGAATGCTAGAGAACTTCCCTTCAGAGGGGTTGGGGGAGGGGTCAGCTATGAGCCGCGGGGGCGCGCAGAAATACCTTCGCCCAGTTAAGGGAAAGGACCTTGCGCAAGACCACTCCCTCGGCCTCACAAAGCTCACATCTCACAGGGAAGGTTGATGGTGTGCGCTCAGTGGGAAGGGAGAACTGAACTCTGCGCGTGCTCAGAGGCACCCGCTACTTCAACAAGGATCACTTCCACAACAGTAGAGATCCAAGACCCGGCCCAAATAAAATCCCTGGCTCGGAGGGGAAAGTTTCAATAGGCGAAGCCCAAGGAAACAAGGGAGGCTGGGCGTCTGAGCGCACAATGCCCGCTTCGATTTCGCGCAGTTCCAGCCCTGTTCGAGGAGGTGGCAGGCAGACCCCCTCGGAGAGTTTCTGGCAGGAGGGAAAAGGGAAGCCGATCGCCGAGCGCTGACTCACCGGCTCTGCCTTTATGGGCACCGGTGCAGTGTCGGCGCCGAGAGGGACAATGGCCCCCTCGGGCCTCAGGGACAATGCGGGCAGCGGAGAGAGAGCTGGCGCCGGCGCGCCAAGGCACCGAAGCAAGTCACGAATTTGAGGAGGGAGACAGGGGTGCAAGAAGAGGTAAGGAGGCACCCATCGCGCCAAGGCTTCCCGCGGTGCCTCTTCCTTCCCTTCCAAGCGTGCAATGTGCCCCCACCCTCTCTCGGAGGCAGGCGGACGGGTAGGCAGCACATCCCCGCTGCAGTGCGCCAAGCAACGCGCGCACACACGAGGCTCTCCAAAGGCGCAGACACGGGCAGCCCAGATGCTGTGTCTCTCTCTCGCCCCCGCCCCGGCTTCCTTACATAACTGGATCGCGCAAAGATAGATAACAATAGAGCAGCTCCGCTTCTCCTGGCAGCGCGGAATCGCCCGCCAGCGCTTACCTCCTACGCAGCCTGCGAGGAAATCCAGCGCCATGATCGCGGTCTCCAAAGCGCGCCTTCAAACCCCTTTCGTGCGCCTCGTCCCGCTCCTCTGGTTTCTAATGCACCTCCCGGCTCCGTGCGTAATTATTACGAATTCCTTTGGGGCAGTTCGAGGAGGGGGGCGGCGGGATCGGCTCCCTCGGATCCAGTGAGTAGGAGGGGGGGCGATCTGAGATCTAATGTCAGGTAGCGGTTGTTGCTTAATTCGTTTTCCCTTCGTCGCCGCCTCGCTTGTGCGCGCAGCAAGCCCGCCCGGTGCGCCTTCCGAGCCGGCACGATCCACCCTCGCCCGTTGCCAAATCCGATCTGGTCGCTTCTATTTCTGACGCCAGAGAGAGGAGGGGGAGACCGAGCCTTTTGGGGAAGCGGGCGCCGCCAATGAGACGCGCCTGGCCAGGCAACACCCTTTCAGGTCGGCCCTCCGCCCGGGCCTCTCATTGGCTGCGCGGCGAGGGAGGCTGCCGGGGATGGGAAGCCAGTGGTTAGGAAAGCAGCGCGGCGAGGGCGGGCTGGAGGACGCGGGCCAAGGCAGCTGGAGCTCCGCCCGCCAGACGCAGGAAGAGCACAAGCGGTGGCTTTGTGTCGGTGCGTTTTTGCGCGCGAGGCTGGCGCGGTGACGGCGCCTTTGGCGATGTGGCGGCGCGGGGAGGGGAAGCGGGAGACGGTTGCGCAGGCCCTGGAGCAGCAGCTGGGTGGATCTCGCGCCCAGGGGAGAAGTGGGAGCAAGGAAGGTGCTTGCCTTACCGTCGAGGGGGCGCGCGGGGGGGGAGTTGGACAGAGACCAGAGACTGAAGGGAACGGAAGAGCTGCCTGTTGGGTAGCGGGAAGCCCCACTCCTTGGCATCTCCCTTGGTTCCGAGGACCGGATGCCCAGGATTGCTGGCTGCGCGACAAGCCACCGATGGGGATGCTTCTGGGCAAGCGCGCAAGCTTCTGGGCAAGCGCGTCCCACCCCCGTCTCTCTGTTACCCTCCAGAGGTATACTGTTTCTCGGCCTGTATCAGCCTGGTGCCCTCCAACAGTTTCCGACTCTAGCTGCCTTTCTGGGGGTGAAGCTGGCACCAGGTTGGCAAATACTGCTGCATCAAGAACACAAGGGCCCCGGGATTAAGGTGAATTTTCTTATGGGGGGGGTCCTCATTATGGACCCATCAGCCATGCTTTTTCTCTTGTGCTCCCCTCCCATATAATTGCATATTTACATAGCCTACATTCTGAAAATGATAAGAATAATAAAATCCTGATCCTTGAATATAATTGCTATTTTATTTTTAAAAGACATCTAATAGAATACCTATATTATTATAATTTATGTGGCCCTTCTGGATTTTGTTGGACTACAAGACCCATCATCCCTGACCATTGGCCAATTGTGGCTGGGAATGATGGGAGATGGAGTTCAGCACCATCTGGAGGGTACCAAGTTCCCCATCCTTGTGACTTAGATGCTGCTGCCAAGAGACTCTTCCAAGAGAGTGGCTTAAGAGAACTGCTGAGAGTGTGTGAAAAGGTTCTTCATATCTTAATGGTTGCACTGAACAACTGCTTGCTAAAGGCATCTGTTGGGCTACTGTGAGAACAGGATGTTAGACTAGCAGGGCTGATCTTGCATTCCTATTGGAGTGAGGTGCCATCGGGCTACAACTCACATCTGCTTCCATGAAGTTGGGCACTGTTTTTCTGTTTTCTGGGAGAAAGGCAGGCATTCCTCCCCTCCCCCCCCCCCCCGCATCAGTAGGGCACTCACAGTTAAACCACAACAGGGGTTTAATATACTGGCTGGAGCCTTACTATATTAACTGGAGTGCTTCTGAGGGAACTCTACAGTGTAGAGTGTGTCATGTAATGATTAATTTTGACTTGGGATTTTCTTTCCGGACTTTTTGCGCCTATTCGGCATTTACTTAGCGTCAGCAGAATGTTAGGTGCTGCACAGAACACAAAAACTATGGTTTGGCCACAGAGGGGCAACTCCTGGATTCGCCATGGCAAGTTAACACACATTTTCCAAGTGTGCCCTTTCCACCACCACCAAGGAGTACAGTTGTACCTCGGGTTACATACACTTCAGGTTACAGACTCCGCTAACCCAGAAATATTACCTTGGGTTAAGAACTTTGCTTCAGGATGAGAACAGAAATCGTGCAGCGGCGGTGCAGAGGCAGCAGGAGGCCCCATTAGCTAAAGTGGTGCTTCAGGTTAAGAACAGTTTCAGGTTAAGAACAGACCTCCAGAACGAATTAAGTTCTTAACCCGAGGTACCACTGTATCTCTTAGTCATGCCTTGTGTAACAAATGGAGGACAGCCATATAGTTAGCAGCTAGCTAAGCGACAGCAGCAAGGCAAAAATGTTTCGCCTTTCATATGCCTGACCAGCTCCTTCCTCTATACAGTATCAGGGTTACAACTCCCATCATCCCTAGCTAGCAGGACCAGAAGACCAGTGGTCAGGGATGATGGGAACTGTAGTCCCAAAACAGCTGGAGACCCAAGTTTGGGAAACCCTGTTCTATAGGCAGGAACAGCCAATTTCTGTATTCGTACATCTGTTCTCCAAAAAGTGGCCCAGGGCTCAGTTTATTTGCTGCACAAGCTGGGTCAGGGGCATAAGAAAATTTGCCACCATCTCAAAGTGAAGACTTCACCTTCAGGAAGCAGAGACTCAGATCCAAAATGATGCATTCATACACCTGAAAGCAAAATGTGACATCAGCATCATTATTATTATTATTTACCCACCCTTTATCCTAAGGTCCCAGTGCAGGTTACAGCATTAAAAGATAGTATTAAAAACAGCTTAAAACAATTGACTGTCCTAGAAATCAGGTGATTATATAAGGAGGCATCTTTATTTTTCCCCGGCCTCACTTTTCCTTACAAGTGACTTTCCATCCCTTGATTAAAATGCAACCAAATGATTTGCCATGCCTTAAAATTTGGTGGGGCTAGATCTGGCCCATCTTCTTCTATTGAACCACCCGTGATTTACAATGTCCTACTTGGATTGGACTACTGGCATCCTGGCCGTCTTGCTTTAAGGCAAATCAATGGCTGCTCTTGAGTTTTTATGGCTCTGCTCCTTTGGCCAAGACTGAGCATTCCAAAAACCATTCGTCATCTTCCGCCGTCTTAGAAGAAAACAACAACTCAAAGGAATCCTGTACATCTGAAAGGCATTTTCGCTGGCTTCCATATTTTGAACCACTGGAATGTTTTAAGCTTGTGGGCTCAGGGAACAAAACACACATGCACCCATCTTTTATTATTATTATTATGAAGGTATCTAATCTTTAGTATCTGTTGAAAAACACACACTTAAAAAAAACAAAAACCCTTGCAAACATTTTTTGCATTCCCCAAATCTTCCAGTAACTTCTAAACTTCAATAATATCCTTTGCTTTCACACAGAACTTTGGGCTTCCCGCCCCCCAGGCAAACCTTAAAGTGGGATTCTTATTGCTAAAGACTTCACTTCCTACTGCGTGTGCTCGCTTATTGACAAAGGATTGGTCCTTATTATCTATTAACTTTGTGACCCTAAACAGTTCCCACATATGTGATGCCAGTTATTGAAGTTAGAGATGATGACATGTCAGTCGTAAGTTGCCACCTGTGCTAAAAACTGATGACAAGCTTGGCTCTCGCTTTGATCTACAACTTCTGTATACTTTGCGACCATTAAGTGCTTATATTCTTCCTGGAGGCAACCATTTATTATTAGACTTTGGGGTTTTTTAAAAAAGGATTTTCCTCATTACACTCTGGTTGCTTCTACATGACCTGTTTATTGAACCTTTATCTTATTTTGTGGGTTGGAATAGGGGGAGCCCTGTTGTCCTGGCCAGACAGGTTAGTTGAATCCAGCCCCTGTCTCCTAATTTCAGATACATATATCTTTCACAATGCTTGTAACTCGATGTTAGGAATTCAGATATATAAGCTAAATCGGCAAATGGCACCTTGAAATAGGTTAGGGTTGCCACAACAGAATGTCTAGGCACCTTTCCCCCAATAAAATTTATTGTTATTATTAGTAGAATAATAATAATAGAATCATCTAGTCCAACCCATGCAATGCAGGAATCTCAGCTAAAGCATCCATGACAGATGGCCATCCAAACTCTGCTTAAAAACCTACAAGGAAGGAGAGCCCACCACCAGTGTGGTGTAGTGGTTAAGAGCGGTGGACTCGTAATCTGGTGAACCGGGTTCACTTCCCCACTCCTCCACATGCGGCTGCTGGGTGACCTTGGGCTAGTCACAGTTCTCTGAAGTCTCTCAGCCCCACTCACCTCACAGAGTGTTTGTTGTGGGGGAGGAAGGGAAAAGGAGATGGTTAGCCACTTTGAGACTCCTTAGGGTAGTGATAAAGTGGGATATCAAATCCAAACTCTTCTTCCAAACCTCCTGAGGGAGACCATTCCACTGCTGAACAGCTCTTACTGTCAGAAAGTTTTTTCCAAATATTTAGTCATAATCTTCTTTCTTGTAACTTGAAGCCATTGGTTCGAGTCCTACCCTCTAGAGCAGGAGAAAACAAGCTCGCTCCATCTTCCATGTGATAGCCCCTGGGATATTTGAAGATGGCTCTCATATCTCCTTTCAGTCTCCTCTTTTCCCGGCATTTCATTTCTATACCAATTTATATTTTAAAGAAAAAAGAATCAAAGATGTTTACAAGTTAAAGCATCAAATGAAATAACAACAAAACAAATTCAAGCTTGAAGGAAAATATTCCAGATCCTTCTCTAAGGGACATTCTGCTTTCGCCATATTTATTTACTTACTTAATTTATATAGCTGCCCTATAGCAGAAATATTCTAGGAAGCCAGTGTGGTGTAGTGGTTAGAATGTGGTTAGACTAGGACCTGGGAGATCAGGGTTCAAATCCCCACTCAGTCATGAAGCTCACTGGGTTAGTCCATCCTAGCCTCCTAAGCTACCTGGTGGCTATGGATGTGGTGTAACTTTACACCAGCTTAACCTAACACCAGTTTGTGCATAGGGTTGCTCCTTAGGTCAATATTTAATGCTCCCATCTGCAGAAAGATCAAGCGCAGGGCTGTGGGATTGCGCCACTTGTTTGTTGCTGCAAAAAAAAATACGCAAGAGGATTTAGTATAATCCCCTAATTATTTTTGGTGTTCAGGAAAGCCTCATGCTCTTGATGCTATTAGGATAACTCTTTGGCCTAGGCGATAATCTTTTACCTGAGAGCGAACCCTGTGGAACTCAATGGGACTGACAGATTGAGGTTGAATCCTGACAAGGCAAAAGTACTGTTTTTGGGGGACAGGAGGCGGGTGGGTATGGAGGACTCCCTGATCCTGAATGGGGTAACCTGAAGGACCAGGTG